CATAGTAAAGATAATAAATATATTACAACAGCTGTGGAGGCAGCAACGATTATTTACACAAACACTCTATACACAAGCAATATGAAAAGTCTGTAGCTGTCCCTTTCCGCGACCACTGTTCGTCTCCCGTTAAATGGATAATGGAAAACACACAGGGATGTTTCTTTTATCTAATAATGGAAAGTGTGGCCAGTAGGAGTCATACGTAGTGCGAATAATAAATATATTGCAACAGTTGTGGAGGTACCGACGATTATTTACCCACACGCTATATACAAGCAATAGAAAAAGTCTGTAGCTGTCCCTTTCCGCGACCACTGTTCGTCTCCCGCTAAATGGATAATGGAAAACACACTGAAATGTTTCTTTTATCTAATAATGTGTAGAGTGGCCAGTAGGAGTGATGAAAAGTAAAGATAATAGATATATTACAACAGCTGTGGAGGCAGCGACGATTATTTACACACACACTCTATAAACAAGCAATATGAAAAGTCTGTAGCTGTCCCTTTCCGCGACCACTGTTCGTCTCCCGTTAAATGGATAATTGAAAACACACAGGGATGTTTCTTTTATCTAATAATGTGTAGTGTGGCCAGTAGGGGTCATACATAGTGCGAATAATAAATATATTGCAACAGTTGTGGAGGTACCGACGATTATTTACCCACACGCTATATACAAGCAATAGGAAAAGTCTGTAGCTGTCCCTTTCCGCGACCACTGTTCGTCTCCCGCTAAATGGATAATGGAAAACACACTGAAATGTTTCTTTTATCTAATAATGTGTAGTGTGGCCAGTAGGAGTGATGGAAAGTAAAGATAATAGATATATTACAACAGTTGTGGAGGCAGCGACGATTATTTACACACACGCTATGTACAAGTGATAGGAAAAGTCTGTAGCTGTCCCTTTCCGCGACCACTGTTCGTCTCCCGCTAAATGGATAATGGAAAACACACAGGGATGTTTCTTTTATCTAATACTGTGTAGTGTGGCCAGTAGGAGTCATACATAGTAAAAATAATAAATATATTACAACAGTTGTGCAGGTAGCGACGATTATTTACATACACTCTACACACAAGCAATATGAAAAGTCTGTACTTGTCCCTTTCCGCGACCAGTGTTCGTCTCCTGTTTAATTGATATTGGAAAACACACAGGGATGGGTTTTTTTATCTCATAATGTGTAGTGTGGCCAGTAGGAGTCACACATAGTAAAAATAATAGATATATTACAACAGTTGTTGAGGCAGCGACGATTATTTACACACACACTCTATACACAAGCAATATGAAAAGTCTGTAGCTGTCCCTTTCCGCGACCACTGTTCGTCTCCTGTTTAATTGATATTGGAAAACACACAGGGATGTTTCTTTTATCTAATAATGGGAAGTGTGGCCAGTAGGAATCATACATAGTAAAGATAATAGATATATTACAACAGCTGTGGAGGCAGCGACGATTATTTACACACACACTCTATAAACAAGCAATATGAAAAGTCTGTAGCTGTCCCTTTCCGCGACCACTGTTCGTCTCCCGTTAAATGGATAATTGAAAACACACAGGGATGTTTCTTTTATCTAATAATGGGAAGTGTGGCCAGTAGGAGTCATACATAGTAAAGATAATAAATATATTACAACTGTTGTGGAGGCAGCGACGATTATTTACCCAGACGCTATATACAAGCAATAGGAATAGTCTGTAGCTGTCCCTTTCCGCGACCACTGTTCGTCTCCCGCTAAATGGATAATGGAAAACACACTGAAATGTTTCTTTTATCTAATAATGTGTAGAGTGGCCAGTAGGAGTGATGAAAAGTAAAGATAATAGATATATTACAACAGTTGTGGAGGCAGCGACGATTATTTACACACACGCTATGTACAAGTGCATGATAGGAAAAGTCTGCAGCTGTCCCTTTCCGCGACCACTGTTCGTCTCCCGCTAAATGGATAATGGAAAACACACAGGGATGTTTCTTTTATCTAATACTGTGTAGTGTGGCCAGTAGGGGTCATACATAGTGCGAATAATAAATATATTACAACAGTTGTGGAGGTAGCGACGATTATTTACATACACTCTTTACACAAGCAATATGAAAAGTCTGTACTTGTCCCTTTCCGCGACCACTGTTCGTCTCCCGCTAAATGGATAATGTAAAACAAACAGGGATGTTTCTTTTATCTAATAATGGGAAGTGTGGCCAGTAGGAATCATACATAGTAAAGATAATAGATATATTACAACAGCTGTGGAGGCAGCGACGATTATTTACACACACACTCTATACACAAGCAATATGAAAAGTCTGTAGCTGTCCCTTTCCGCGACCACTGTTCGTCTCCCGTTAAATGGATAATTGAAAACACACAGGGATGTTTCTTTTATCTAATAATGTGTAGTGTGGCCAGTAGGGGTCATACATAGTGCGAATAATAAATATATTACAACAATTGTGGAGGCAGCGACGATTATTTACCCACACGCTATATACAAGCAATAGGAAAAGTCTGTAGCTGTCCCTTTCCGCGACCACTGTTCGTCTCCCGCTAAATGGATAATGGAAAACACACTGAAATGTTTCTTTTATCTAATAATGTGTAGTGTGGCCAGTAGGAGTCATACATAGTAAAGATAATAGATATATTACAACAGCTGTGGAGGCAGCGACGATTATTTACACACACGCTATGTACAAGTGATAGGAAAAGTCTGCAGCTGTCCCTTTCCGCGACCACTGTTCGTCTCCCGCTAAATGGATAATGGAAAACACACAGGGATGTTTCTTTTATCTAATACTGTGTAGTGTGGCCAGTAGGGGTCATACATAGTGCGAATAATAAATATATTACAACAGTTGTGGAGGTAGCGACGATTATTTACATACACTCTATACACAAGCAATATGAAAAGTCTGTACTTGTCCCTTTCCGCGACCACTGTTCGTCTCCCGCTAAATGGATAATGTAAAACACACAGGGATGTTTCTTTTAACTAATAATGTGTAGAGTGACCAGTAGGGGTCATACATATAAATATATATATATATATACATTACAACAGTTGTGGAGGTAGCGACGATTATTTACACACACGCTACACAAGGATGTTTCCTTTATATGATAATGTGCAGTGTGACATGTCAGTGGCGTAAATATAAAAAACATATTTGTATTATAATAGTTGTGGGGTAGTGGGGTTATTGTTCCCACACCAGGCAACATGAACAGTCTGTAGTTGTCCCTTTCCCAGACCAATATAATTATTTGATCACTGTGTTCGGTTCTTCGCTCAGGATGCTGTACGGGGTACCTTGACTTTACTGAGGGTTTATTGAGAATCACATGTTAAGTAAGGATAAGAATTTATGGATGAACAACTTATTTATTACAATTAAGAGCGACTTTTCGGTGTAGGTTCTAAAGCCGTTATCAAAGTGATATACAGAGCCTGGTTGACAAGTATATACAAGTCGGAAGCAATGTTTATACAGTAGAGTAGATATTGTTATACTGGAGTAGAGAATCCTGTTATGTATATACAAGGCCATTCGTGCAACAAGTTGTCCCAGTTTCCCAGACCAATGCCCGTCCCCCGTACAAATAATAATTGTATAATACTAGTTATGGGGGTATTGTGGCGATGATTTTCCCACAGCCAATGCAAGGCAATAGGAACAGTGTGCAGTTGTTCCTTTCCCAGACCAATGTTCGCGCCCCGTATAAAATAATATGAAACATACGCAATGCTCTTTTTTCATAATAATGTGTAAGAGTGACGTTTCAGTGGACCGAATAAAAAAGCACTGTATTATACCCATTGTAGGGGTAGCCATGAGGATTTTTACATATCTAAAAAAGGCAATATGAAGACTCTGTAGTTGTCACTTTCCCAGACCAACGTACGCCTCTCGTTTAATTGATGGGGAAAATACACAAGGATGTTTCTTTTATATAATAGTAATGTGTAGAGTGACCAGTCAGTGGCTTGAGTATACAAAAAATAATTGTATTAAACTAGTTGTAGGGGTAGCGGCGATGATTTACGCACACGCTATATACAAGGCAATATGAAGAGTCTGTAGTTGTCTGTAGTTGTTTATAAAATAACGAAAATACGCAAAGCTCTATTTCATAACCTATGTGTAGGGTGGCTACAAAGAATACATTCTGAAGAACGTTGACTAGATTAAAGTGAGTCAGCATAAATGGCACTGGATTCGAATATGCCAAAGCATGTATTTTTCCATATTTTTTATCTGTGAATTCGACGATATAGGATATAGTGGTAAAGCTTATGTTAAGTCGAGATTCCCCTTTGATAGAAATTATTTAAATCCGATTGTCAAAAGAAAATATTGTATAAAAAAAGTGAGCTAACCAGTTTAAACATATCTGTTTACCTCTCTGATGACTTGATAGCAAAAAATAAGGGATCAGAGTAAATTAAAGTGGCCTGTGTTCTGAAAAGAAAGTTCGGCTATCGTTTGTCAGCTATATTTGTGAGATTGCGAGAATGTGTATAATGAATATGTATGTATATGTCCGTTCTAGTACCTAGACAAACGGATTTTACAAACATGCATGTATTTATTAGTTTAGGGTAGTGTGATACATTACCACGATGTCTAAAGAGACTGAATCAAACCACAGATGATCTCAATCGTCACCTCATTAACAGTACAGATAAAAAAAATAATGGCTTTAAATGTGTTAAAATTGAGTGAGCTTGATCGAGTAAGTATATATACATATTATATATAAAAGAATACTGCGTTCATAATATTTATTCAGACAAAAATGTATGGAATTGTTATAATTTGACTGGGATTTGTCTATAGATAGCCGCGCATTTCGTATTGTCGTGCGGAAGCTTAAATACAGTATAGTTGAACTACACGCGCGAGTATAACAGGCATACCTCTCGATAAACGTAGCTCTGAGGCCTGGTCTGGGAAAGGGACGTATACTGACTCGACCAAACATTTCACGCAATGGATGATATCGCAGACTTAAAGTATGACATTGATCGAAAGCTCGAAAAGGTATGTTTTGAATAATCAAACGTCTCCAGTAATAGGGTTACATCCTAGATGAGATTCTTTGATGAGTCCGCAGACGGCGTTGAACATGTTGTAATTGTTGCAGTGTGAATCCGTGACAGTAGACCTAAACATTCATAGAAATGACAGTAAGTAATACACGGAGGAGTCTCATCGTGTACAGTATATTTATGTTAATGAGTAGATGATATAACAGTCAACGTGGTCTTACAGAAAGTTTGATCATTGGCACTACTGCAGTAGGAAATGTAATATTACTAATAATGTAATGAGGGTCGTGGGGGAGGGGTGGGTTAATTAAAATATAAACGACTCATGGTCGTTGTTTATCGTACAACAAAATACTGCAGGTTGAATAAGCCCGCATATTCTCACAATATCTTACGTTGGTTATGTGTACCACTTCTCCTAATTCCGATTATCATATCTCTCCCACTTCTGGATGCGATCATTTGGCCACTGCGTTTATGTGTGTACCCCTATGGGGAACAACTCACTGGAAACTTCCCTTTAAAAAATATCGCCATCCAATATATGGCGACATCAAGTTGCAAATGCATATTCAAATCTCCAGAAATGATGTCATGATAGAACAATGTTTTATCGTGACATAAACCACATTTTGTTCTTCATTGCTCTTTGCTATTTATCCCGTAGCTATCTTATGTTGGGCAATAAAGTGGACTGTATCTACAGATCAGATGATACTTTGATATACATGGGAGTGACTCTTGTCTTCAGAGTTGTTTCAGTCTATGATGTTGTGTTCAGGAGACGACAAATCTGTCAACTTTGAGGGAATCACTGAAGAAGAGCAGCACTAACACTCAGAACATGTTAGGCATCCTCACAAGCTTTGAGAGCCGACTGCAGAGACTGGAAGATACAATTGTACCTGTTTACAATGAGACTGAGAACCTCAGACGAAGACAAGAGAGTATCCTATCAAAAATGTCATGTGTAACACTGTATTCACACCTATAACGCTGTATACAGTGAGACACCACTTCATAGTTTATGTAGATCTGGGTCCACTTGCACAAAGCGATCTTAGGGCTACAATTATTGTAAATTCTTAAGATCGCGATCTTAGGCTTCGGCTACAATGGCCACTCATTTGCACAAAGCGATTGTAGGTTAAGATCATTGTAAGCTACAATCGAAACTTACAGTTGGTCCGGACCAATCTTAAGTAGCTAAGATCGTTGTAGTCCCATGAACTAAACTTGACAAAATGGCATGCAAGGCTTGGTCTGTTTCACATAAATAATCTGCTTTATGTTCAAACATTGCCTCTTCATTTTGTTAAACTTTATAATTCGAATCGACACTTTAACAACATGAAGAACGCACCACAGATTTAACGTCAGAAATATCGTTAATAACCATAGTTAAACATGTAACTATCGAGTCATAAGCTTAGAGGAATATTCCCATCCGACTCAATACTGAAATAAATGTGAAACAACATACCTTTTCGCTAAACAAGGGAAGGATAAAAACCTAAGTCGTCCCGCAAGCGATTTGTAACGTCTGTGACCTTTTTGATAAATCAAGGGCAGCTAATCTTAGTTTATACTCTAGATGGGAGTGGTTTCCCTTTGTATAAGCCCGTAGAGTACAATCTACCTTACCCAGTGTATCAGTGTTGTTGAAACATTTGAATTTTTTGCAAAATATCCCATAAATAGCAAAAATAAAATTCACACTTTAAAAAAAAAGAAATTAATACCCAGTGAATATATATAAACAATTGCTTTCTCGAAACATTATTCATTATTCTTATTTCCCTTCTATGCGTTTTTGAAAGTTCCCGTCTTTCTGTGTTTTGAAATGGTAGTCATAACATCCTTTGTTGTAGCAACGAAAGGAAAACATATATATTTAGGATTTTACAAAAAGCTCCCCCAAATAGATGACGATCATGCATTTACGTGTTATGGTTTTAGGTAATATTATTATTATTTATTTTAATTTTTATAATAATTGTGTTACTAAATAATGTATTTATTCGTATTTCAATACTTTGAATAAAAACTTGAGTAGGTATTTCTCTTGTTGAAATAGAAAACAATTCCTAAATCACGACAGTATTAATGCCGACAAGAATATATGCCTTCATTATAGTAATCGTTTCCTTCAAATAATTGGGACCTTTCTTGAAACTGTGCAAAGTGCGATGGAGGGAGGTATGTGTTGCGTGTCGTTACCGGTTCCACTTATTGTATGCGCCTTTGCAGACAACTGTAGACAGGAGTTGAGCTTAAAATATTCGTACCTCCACCGTTGAAGATTTCAGTCTTACCTAAGATCGCGATCTTAACTCCAAGCCGTCTTACAATCGCGTTATGATCGGTTTGTGCAAGTGGAATAGGACAATTGTAGGGTGATTGTAAAGTTGATTGTAGCCGCCTAAGATCGATTGTAACTAAGATTGTTCTGTGCAAGTGGGCCCCGGAAGCCAGAACTTCTGGATAATAATGTTTAGCATTTTAATTTAAAAGTTGTATTATATGAACTTGCTTGTTTATATTGTCTATGATCTGAAAGTGAAAAGTACATTTTATCTCTATTCACTGATCATGTAAACTTTGGGTAAATCTTAGTGTATTAGGTAAAGTTGATAAATGTGTGTCAATTCCACTACAGGATATTGAATTAATGTTTCAAATTATCAGTGATAGTACTTGATCATTTTTCTACATCTCACTTTTGGATCAGGTACCCTATAAATTCATAACTGAGTTACTATGGTTACTTGAACATATTTGAGAAAGTATCCAGATAAAGAAGCTTTACTGATTATAATTTGAATATATTAATTTTATAATGCAGTATTTATTTTGCAAGTGCCTGAAATTAATTAAAAACTACCAAAAGAAGTAGATTTAGTTCTACTGTTTTAAATATTTCTTAACCCCTGTGAGACATTGAAAAGACACTTCACACTGTGGATAACGTCCTAGGCTACTACCATGCAGCTAAAGATGTGGAGCCTGTCATCAGAGAAGGGTGAGCATCTCCAGCATCAGATACACCACTGTTACATCACCGACAGTGATCAACAGATTACACTCTGTTATTGAAACAGGGGTCGTCATGACCTTCTGCAACATCTGAGATACAAAACATGCCTAACATGCTGAACATAATGAGATTTTATGATGTAAGTATTGTTTGCTTTTCATCCCACTTGAAACCATGTAGTGTCTGGGAGCAATAGCTGGGTTCACTGTTGTATTTCATATACTGGCATGCTTATGTTGACCTTTGTCCATCTCAGGCCTGGTGCTAGTGATCTTGACACCTACATCTCTTATATGGACAAGCTACTGCGGGCTATGAGATACTTTACTACAAACAACCCAGCCAGTAAAGAACTTGATCAGTTGGTAAGTCTGTAGCATTTTAGATATTTGTATATAAACTCATCTCTTTTGGGTTACAAATTCTTAAATTCAAAGGTGAAATAATAACACAAACAATGTATTGATGTAGTAGATTAAAAGAGTAACCTCTTAACTTAGTTCTAAAGTTTTGAAAAGAATATATCTCAAATTATGATGATTATGATCGGAAGGGGAAAGTGGTAATTTTTACACATTCAAACCCACAGACAAGAATCTATGATGATGGCAAAGAAAATCTACAACACGAGTTCCGTGCCCTGTTGACCCGACATGGCCGCCCTGTACCACCCATCCTTATCATGGACCTTCTAGGCACTGATGAAGGTATGTAGAGGGGGCACTGATGAAGGTATGTAGATGGGGCACTGATGAAGGTATGTAGAGGGGGCACTGATGAAGGTATGTAGAAGGGTGCACTGATGAAGGTATGTAGAGGGGGCACTGATGAAGGTATGTAGAGGGGGCACTGATGAAGGTATGTAGAAGGGGGCACTGATGAAGGTATGTAGAGGGGGCACTGATGAAGGTCTGTAGAAGGGTGCACTGATGAAGGTATGTAGAGGGGGCACTGATGAAGGTATGTAGAGGGGGCACTGATGAAGGTATGTAGAAGGGTGCACTGATGAAGGTATGTAGAGGGGGCACCGATGAAGGTATGTAGAGAGGGGCACTGATGAAGGTATGTAGAGAGGGGCACTGATGAAGGTATGTAGATGGGCACTGATGAAGGCATGTAGAGGGGGCACTGATGAAGGTATGTAGAAGGGGGCACTGATGAAGGTATGTAGAGGGGGGCACTGATGAAGGCATGTAGAGGGGGGGAACTGATGAAGGCATGTAGAGAGGGGCACTGATGAAGGCATGTAGAGGGGGCACTGATGAAGGTATGTAGAAGGGGGCACTGATGAAGGTATGTAGAGGGGGCACTGATGAAGGTATGTTGGGGGGGGGGCACAGATGAAGGTATGTAGAAGGGGGCACTGATGAAGGCATGTAGAGGGGGGCACTGATGAAGGTATGTAGAGGGGGCACTGATGAAGGTATGTAGAAGGGGGCACTGATGAAAGTATGTAGAGGGGGCACTGATGAAGGCATGTAGAGGGGGGCACTGATGAAGGTATGTAGGGGAGGCAGTGATGAAGGTATGTAGAGGGGGGCACTGATGAAGGCATGTAGAGGGGGGCACTGATGAAGGTATGTAGAGGGGGGCACTGATGAAGGTATGTAGAGGGGGGCACTGATGAAGGCATGTAGAGGGGGGCACTGATGAAGGCATGTAGAGGGGGGCACTGATGAAGGCATGTAGAGGGGGGCACTGATGAAGGCATGTAGAGGGGGGCACTGATGAAAGCACGTAGAGGGGGGACACTGATGAAGGTATGTAGAGGGGGGCACTGATGAAGGCATGTAGAGGGGGGCACAGATGAAGGTATGTAGAGGGGGCCACAGATTAACATATGTAAAGTGCATCAAGTTGTAACTGTAGAGGATTTTATATCTTCGAGTGCTTGATGAGACATGATAGCAGACTATTTAGCTGTGTGTTTTCACTCCGGTGTTGTAGAGCTGCCCCCAGTGGGGACAGACACGGACCTGTTTGCCCTGGAACACCTGCCAGAGAAGGTGGTGGAGCAGCTCAGTGACATCTCCAAGTGGCTGGTGGCAAACGACAGCTCCACAGAGTTCACCAAGTACTACTATGCCGCGAGAGCCAGCATGCTGACCAAGTCACTACAGGGGTAGGAAAATATATCAAATAACATGCTTTCAACTTTGTGTTATTGTCTTGATCAGAATGACCAGGTTCTAGTTATCACTTGGCTTAAAAAAAGTGTGAGGCCCATTCTTGATGTCCCTTGCTGTGAGGTGGCTTGAATAGTGTTCAGAGTGTTCGCTCTCTCCTCTGAATCACGATGGAAGTCATTATTCTTTTGACTAGATGTTGTTTGAGAGGTGCTACAGGTTAGATAAGTTATGTCACTATAACATATTCCTCAGGCCTGTATGTTAATATGTTTTGCTTAAATATTTTCTGAAATCATTTTAGGATATTTTTATTTTCTATGCTTTGTTCAACACATTCAGCAGATATGTGTAGATAGGCGTTATTCTCATCTAGCTCACTCCCTGTCAAGAGTGTGCCTTGTTTGACCACTATACATGTACGGGCAGAAGTCATTAAGGCTATTTCCTCTTGTTGGCTGTGTTCCCTGTGTCCATTATAACCATCAACTCTGTTGCTATGTATTGTGAATGTTTCTGGCAGCCTGAAGGAACATCTGAAGACCTCAAGTGGAAGCAGCACCACCCATGTGGGGCAGCATTCTCCCGCCATGGTACGTGTAAGCAGGAGGCAACAGGGTGTGGGGACTGGGGGTGCATCATGTTTGGGAGACTACCCCTGTAGGTGTTGGTATTAAGGTAGATTGACTACAGAGGACCAGGTAGTTACAGTTACAGTTATATGCCATATATCGCTGTGTATAAGGCGAGTTTTTCGTACCTAAAATGAGGGGATTAAGAAAGGGGGTCGTCTTATTAACGGAGTCGAAGATCTCACATTTTTTTCCAGTTGTTTCACTTTCAGCTTCGACTGGCGATGTCAACCGGTGTCCGATAGCCAGCCCAGCATTTGACAATAAAACTTTGCATTTCGTCCTAAATAACTGTTCCAATTACTATTTCCATACATAAATATGATTTGTATCTGTTTTCCTTGAATAAAGTTTAACAATTTCTGCAAATAAAGTTGAAATAACCCTCGCCTCGATGCAGATTGTCAAGCCAGCTGACACGGTAAGACAATCAACATCCGTGAGTAGAGAGCCGGAAGTACCGCTAAGCATTTGCATATTGCACATGACCTAACAGTGTGAAGCCCATTTCTGGTGTGCCCCGCCGTGATATTGCTGGAATATTGCTAAAAGAGGCGTAAAACCAAACTCACTCACTCACTCACTGTGACCTAACATGTGATAAACGGTGAAGCTGAAATCAATTCCCGCTGTTTTAACAGTTGTATTAACAACTGTTGGAGACGGTGTGTATAAGTGATTGTGGAATAAACACGCTGAATGTGAAGCAAACATAAGCCTAGTTAGTTACAATATAGTTAATTGGCGATTAAATTACTCACCATTGTCTCTTATATGTTATTACTTCATAAATGAATTATATTTTACGGGCACCAATTTGGTGTCATACCGTGTAAACACAAAATCGCAACATGTGCTGGAGTTACACACGCGACCAATCATCGTAGAAAAAACAACGCAAGATAAACATATTTTTATTGCATATATAAGGTTTGTGTGCGCACTTGTGATGTGCTTCATTCCAGGTCGCATTATACAGGATTTTGGGTTGATTTTGAAGGCGTGTACAGGGGGGTCGTCTTATACGTGGGGTTGCCTTATACACAGCGATATACGGTAGCTGGAATAGTATTGACCTGGTGCAAATCAGTGTTCATCAATCTCTCACTCTTGGGAAAATAATTAACTTGTTATCACCAATACAAGACTAGTAGCATTCATTTTGAATTCACATTCAAATTGTTAGACTAGACAGCCTCTCTGAGCTCAATTTGTACATGTGGTATGACATCTGGTTCTGTCATATAAATCTGAAGTGAAGTTGTCCTTGCCTTGTTTGTTCATCAATTACTGACTGTAGCCTATTTAGTCAATCTACAAATACTTTGTAAACAGTATGGATCAACATGTAAAATATTCTTGCAAATATACAAAAGAATGTATGTGACATGTTTTTCATGATTCTTGCAGAATAACAAATTTCGTGGGACCAAAGATACACCAGTTAGAAAAAGCATGAAGAAAATGACGTAAGTTTTATGTTTAGTGTCAGCTCTTTGAAAGAATGAAAAAAATACTTCAAGTATTTTAGAGAAAACTTGTCAGTGAATTCATATTTCAACAGCCATAATCATTCTAGCGGAATCTTTGCAATATTATAGTAACCCATCCAGCTTTTGAATGGAGTATCTGTGTACTATTGCAATTTGTTTTTGGCATGTTGTTTTTATATATCTTTTGTGTGTATTTCAGGTTGAAAGGATTCAAGAAGGCTTCATCCACACTCATGGCAGGAAGGTCCCCGTTTGAGCCAGGTAGGATTGAACATTTGAACATCTTCAAGTCTTGCATCCATCAGCTGTGTCAGTATCTGCTCATAATAGGTTCCAATCCCAGGTCTGTCAGTACCACACCAATTGGAAATAATGTGATAAATGGAGGCAGCACAATTACGTTGTAACTTGTTCTGGAAGATGTTTACTCTTGTTGATTACCAGGTCACAGAAGGCAGGGGTCATCGACAGAGAGCATCAAGGAGGAACATGTGGATGTGGAGACGGACCAGTACATCACACAGCTCACAGCTCTCCTCAGACTCATGCAGGTAGGGTGTGTCAGTTGTGGCAGCATTGGACTGCTGACTTGACTGAAAATATTCTTTAGAAACGTTTTCTAAGATATCTGACAGAACCAAGATAAGAAATAGTTTCATATGTTGATATTGATACATTGACATCATTGACATATTTCAGTGACTTAGTGCGACATTATTTCAGAGCGAATCTCATCTGATGATGGGCATCATTCCGGAGAAGTATCAACGTAACATCTTTGACAACACTGTCCAGCAGGCTCTGGATATGATAGTCAGTGAAGGAGAGGTACGTGACAGCAGGCTCTGGATATGATAGTTAGTGAAGGAGAGGTATGTGACAGCAGGCTCTGGATATGATAGTTAGTGAATGAGAGGTATGAGACAGCAGACTCTGGATATGATAGTTAGTGAAGGAGAGGTATGTGACAGCAGGCTCTGGATATGATAGTTAGTGAAGGAGATGTATGTGACAGCAGGCTCTGGATATGATAGTTAGTGAATGAGAGGTATGTGACAGCAGACTCTCTATATGATAGTCAGTGAAGGAGAGGTACGTGACAGCAGGCTCTGGATATGATAGTTAGTGAATGAGAGGTATGTGACAGCAGGCTCTGGATATGATAGTTAGTGAAGGAGAGGTATGTGACAGCAGGCTCTGGATATGATAGTCAGTGAAGGAGAGGTATGTGACAGCAGGCTCTGGATATGATAGTGAATGAGAGGTACTTGACAGCAGGCTCTGTATATGATAGTGAATGAGAGGTATGTGACAGCAGGCTCTGGATATGATAGTCAGTGAAGGAGAGGTATGTGACAGCAGGCTCTCTATATGATAGTCAGTGAAGGAGAGGTACGTGACAGCAGGCTCTGTATATGATAGTCAGTGAAGGTTAGGTTCGTGACAGCAGGCTCTAGATATGATAGTGAATGAGAGGTACGTGACAGCAGGCTCTCTATATGATAGTCAGTGAAGGAGAGGTACGTGACAGCAGGCTCTCTATATGATAGTCAGTGAAGGAGAGGTACGTGACAGCAGGCTCTGTATATGATAGTCAGTGAAGGTGAGGTTCGTGACAGCAGGCTCTAGATATGATAGTGAATGAGAGGAACGTGACAGCAGGCTCTGTATATGATAGTCAGTGAAGGAGAGGTACGTGACAGCAGGCTCTATATATGATAGTCAGTGAAGGAGAGGTACGTTACAGCAGGCTCTGGATATGATAGTCAGTGAATGATAGTGAAGCAGCAGTACTGAACAGCTGACACATCTTTTTTCTAATATACCATATCTCAGTGTACAGGTGTATTCTGCAAGAAGGGAATTTATGGTTGGATTTTTCCTTTCGTATGACAAAAGGATTGGTGATTGGTTAGGAAGATTGTTTTGCAAGACTGATTGTGTGGCATTGTACTTCAACCTCTGGTTCCTCATTGTATGACCATTGTATGACCAGACAAATCGCACAACCTTGTACTTCTGGTTCCTCATTGTATGACCAGACCACTCGCACAACTTTGTACTTCTGGTTCCTCATTTTATGACCAGACAAATCGCACAACTTTGTACTTCTGGTTCCTCATTGAATGACCAGACCAATTGCGTGGCATTGTACTTCTGGTTCCTCATTGTATGACCAGACAAATCCCACAACTTTGTACTTCTGGTTCCTCATTGTATGACAAGACACATAGCGTGGCATTGTACTTCTGGTTCCTCATTGTATGACCAGACCAATCGTGTGGCATTGTACTTCTAGTTCCTCATTGTATGACAAGACCAATCACACAACTTTGTACTTCTGGTTCCTCATTGTATGACCAGACAAATCGCGTGGCATTGTACTTCTGGTTCCTCATTGTATGACCAGACCAATCGCGTGGCATTGTACTTCTGGTTCCTCATTGTATGACCAGACCAATCGCGTGGCATTGTACTTCTAGTTCCTCATTGTATGACCAGACCAATCGCACAACTTTGTACTTCTGGTTCCTCATTGTATGACCAGACCAATCATGTGGCATTGTACTTCTGGTTCCTCATTGTATGACCAGACCAATCGTGTGGCATTGTCCTTCTGGTTCCTCATTGTATGACCAGACCAATCGCGTGGCATTGTACTTCTGGTTCCTCATTGTATGACCAGACCAATCGCGTGGCATTGTACTTCTGGTTCCTCATTGTATGACCAGACCAATCGCGTGGCATTGTACTTCTAGTTCCTCATTGTATGACAAGACCAATCACACAACTTTGTACTTCTGGTTCCTCATTGTATGACCAGACAAATCGCACAACTTTGTACTTCTGGTTCCTCATTGTATGACAAGACACATAGCGTGGCATTGTACTTCTGGTTCCTCATTGTATGACCAGACCAATCGTGTGGCATTGTCCTTCTGGTTCCTCATTGTATGACCAGACAAATCGCGTGGCATTGTACTTCTGGTTCCTCATTGTATGACCAGACCAATCGCGTGGCATTGTACTTCTAGTTCCTCATTGTATGACAAGACCAATCACACAACTTTGTACTTCTGGTTCCTCATTGTATGATCAGACCAATCGCGTGGCATTGTACTTCTGGTTCCTCATTGTATGACCAGACAAATCACACAACTTTGTACTTCTGGTTCCTCATTGTATGATCAGACCAATCGCGTGGCATTGTACTTCTGGTTCCTCATTGTATGACCAGACCAATCGCACAACTTTGTACTTCTGGTTCCTCATTGTATGATCAGACCAATCATGTGGTTTTGTACTTCTAGTTCCTCATTGTATGACCAGACCAATCGTGTGGCATTGTCCTTCTGGTTCCTCATTGTATGACCAGACCAATCGCGTGGCATTGTACTTCTGGTTCCTCAATGTATGATCAGACCAATCATGTGGCATTGTCCTTCTGGTTCCTCATTGTATGACCAGACCAATCGTGTGGCATTGTACTTCTGGTTCCTCATTGAATGACCAGACCAATCGTGTGGCATTGTACTTCTAGTTCCTCATTGTATGACCAGACCAATCATGTGGCATTGTACTTCTGGTTCCTCATTGTATGACCAGACCAATCGCGTGGCATTGTACTTCTAGTTCCTCATTGTATGACCAGACCAATCGTGTGGCATTGTACTTCTGGTTCCTCATTGTATGACCAGACCAATCGTGTGGCATTGTACTTCTAGTTCCTCATTGTATGACCAGACCAATCATGTGGCATTGTACTTCTGGTTCCTCATTGTATGACCAGACCAATCGCGTGGCATTGTACTTCTAGTTCCTCATTGTATGACCAGACCAATCGTGTGGCATTGTACTTCTGGTTCCTCATTGTATGACCAGACCAATCGTGTGGCATTGTACTTCTGGTTCCTCATTGTATGACCAGACCAATCGTGTGGCATTGTACTTCTGGTTCCTCATTGTATGACCAGACCAATCATGTGGCATTGTACTTCTGGTTCCTCATTGTATGACCAGACCAATCGTGTGGCATTGTACTTCTAGTTCCTCATTGTATGACCAGACCAATCATGTGGCATTGTACTTCTGGTTCCTCATTGTATGACCAGACCAATCGCGTGGCATTGTACTTCTAGTTCCTCATTGTATGACCAGACCAATCGCGTGGCATTGTACTTCTAGTTCCTCTTGCCCAGATTTCGTTATATTCAGGTTGCTTTGGTAAATCTGTAGTATTTCTCAACTTACTCTTTTTTCTAAGGGTTCTTTTCTCACAATAACTAATGATTATGTTTTACCAAGTATATTTATGTTAGAATGTATACAAGGTATGGTTGTGTTGGAGCTGTAATCCAGGTTCATGATTTTGTTTTCAGATGCTGGCCACAACCGCCAAGAGGAACATTGGTCGGCATGAATTCACTGCAGTATTGTCTATATTCCCTATCGTAAAACACCTCCGAACAGTCAGACCCGAGTTTGATTTGATACTCGAGGTAATCAGCAAAAGAGTACTAATTGTGAATTTGCTAAAGTTAATTGTGCATCCCCTTTGGGAAAAGGAGTGCCTCGCATCAAAAGGCAAAGCTGATTTTCCACAGTTGTCTCCCTTTGCTTTAAGTTGTGGCTCAGTCCACACTGACAGATACACAAACATAACAGTGTTCTTATCTTCTCATAATTTTGTTTAAATCTCACTTGAACTGAAAGCTCTTTTTTCTGGCTTGTATTTAATTCTGATAGCAAACAGCTTTAATCCTAAGGGTTTTGTCAATTTAAGATACCAGTAGATGTCTTTGAAAAAATATATACAAAAGACTAAGAGAAGTTGTTTTTGTTGTTGTACTGATCAGTTTCTGTATGTGTTTCAGGGATGCCAAGCACCAACAAGGTCCAAGCTCATTTCGTTACTCTCAACGCTAGACAGCACTGTAAGTAGTCCTCCTTTTGTGTAACCATAGCTTAATCATGTTAATCAAGTCAATACCTCTGTTAGGAATACATGTAGTAGACAAGATATTGTTTTAAAAGAGATTGTACAGTGAAGTTTTTTCTCATGGTTCCCCCTCATCAATAAAGAAATCTTTGTTATCAGTGATGAAATAGATATGTCCTGTCTATAATTGATTGCAACTACCTTGATATTCTGCTCTGTTTCATCTAGGGAGCCAAGGCATTGGAAGAATTCCATGATAGTGTTCGGGTGAGTTTTTGTGTTACTTTTTGTAGTACCTTTCAATACTTTCATTGAATCATTCTAATGTACGAAATTTGTCAAAATGTCTCGAATTTGTGATTTTTTTTAAAGCATATGGATGAAGATTCTCATGAACCTGTCAAAAGAACATTCTTTTGACCATGTTGACTCCAATTTCATTTTTGTTGCGCAATGAAATTTAAGGAATATATTTCAATAAATCAGTTATCTTTAGTAATACAGTGTTGTCAACTGTTTTAAAAACCTTCTTTGGGATGATGATAATGATGATGATATTTCTATGAGAGGTTATATTTTTGTGAAAGATTTTGACGACAGTGTGTGTGTTTTCAGAATGATTCCGACAAAGCCATGCCACGTGACGGTACAGTACATGAACTTGCCAATCATGTAAGTGTTACCAAGGTTACAGCTGTTCTTCCTCTTGTGTTGTGCATGTTCACACTGTGTTAAGACAAAGAGACCTGTCGGTCATTCATGAACGGTACTTTACAGGCTTTTTGTACACTCCCTTCCGGCGTTATGTCTCTATGCAGTTTCAGTGTCAAGCAATGGTAGGGTTCAAACATATTCTTGCATGCAGTAGGGCTCATTTAACTTATAGACAGACCCATTTCATTAGCTGAGTCAATCTAGACACACATCACTACCCCACAATCGGTCATATGTTTTCACAGAGAATGGAGCTAAGTAGTCAGTGTGTGTACAAGCTAAAATATCCAGGTTGTATTCACTGTTCCTCTGTCCTCTGTTATGTACGTGAGACTATCATGTTCTAGACAATCATCTTCCTGGAGCAGCTACAGGACTATGCAGAGACGGCAGGGGCCATGTTGCTGATGCATGGTGAGTGTCTCTAGTGTGTGCCCAGATGTGTAGTATGCAGAGACGGCAGGGGCCATGTTGCTGATGCATGTTGAGTGTCTCTAGTGTGTGCCTAGATGTGTAGTATGCAGAGACGGCAGGGGCAATGTTGCTGATGGATGGAGAGTGTAGCGCCATGTCTCTAGTGTGTGCCTAGATGTGTAGTATGCAGAGATGGCAGGGGCCATGTTGCTGATGCATGTTGAGTGTCTCTAGTGTGTGCCTAGATGTGTAGTATGCAGAGACGGCAGGGGCAATGTTGCTGATGGATGGAGAGTGTAGCGCCATGTCTCTAGTGTGTGCCTAGATGTGTAGTATGCAGAGATGGCAGGGGCAATGTTGCTGATGCATGGTGAGTGTCTCTAGTGTGTGCCCAGATGTGTAGTATGCAGAGACGGCAGGGGCCATGTTGCTGATGCATGTTGAGTGTAGCGCCATGTCTCTAGTATGTGCCCAGATGTGTAGTATGCAGAGACGGCAGGGGCCATGTTGCTGATGCATGGTGAGTGTCTCTAGTGTGTGCCTAGATGTGTAGTATGCAGAGATGGCAGGGGCCATGTTGCTGATGCATGTTGAGTGTCTCTAGTGTGTGCCCAGATGTGTAGTATGCAGAGACAGCAGGGGCAATGTTGCTGATGCATGGTGAGTGTCTCTAGTGTGTGCCTAGATGTGTAGTATGCAGAGACAGCAGGGGCAATGTTGCTGATGCATGGTGAGTGTCTCTAGTGTGTGCCTAGATGTGTAGTATGCAGAGACAGCAGGGGCAATGTTGCTGATGCATTGTGAGTGTCTCTAGTGTGTGCCTAGATGTGTAGTAATAGTAGTATGCATTCTACACATACTGGATCACAGATAGTCATTTGGTTTTAAAGACAGAGGGTGCTCTTGAGCTTCTTGACAGTTGTTCATGTTTATGGAGTCTGTGATGTTGTGTTTCAGGGGAACAAGCCGCCCCTTCACAGTCGACAATAACGACTGATGCCTGCAGGTTGAGGCTAGCTGACTATATGAGTAGGTCAAAGAAAAATGTTTATGATGTCCACAACAATATATTTGAATTATTTTCAAGTAAAGCAGTGTCCCTGTTCTTAATTGTGGACTTAGTAATTGTTCCATGTCAAAAGAGTTAAAGGCAAGACTCGAAAATAAGTGATCTTTTAGATAATATTTAAAACTTTGGTCAATAAGCACCTGGTTACCTTATTGCTATGGAATTTGAGTCTTGTTAAATGGACAGTAGAAATTATCATTAGAATGTCTGACCATCTCAGATCTATGTTTTTTGTCCCTTCAGCGAGAGTGCTGTCTGCACTGGGCCTCAACCTCACCAACAAGGCTGAGATGTACAGTGATCCAGCCCTCAAACCCATCTTCATGGTCAACAACTTTAACTACATTCTCAAGTCTCTCAAAAGGTAGGAAACACATACCAGTAGAAGGAATTGAGAGGCAAGTATACATACCTATAACAATGTTTGCTCTTTATGATCCAGACAGTACAATCTTGCAGGAATGGTCACAATAAACATTCAGCAGTTGCGCCATTTGTAAACTAAGTAGCCCCACAGTAAACTATCAGTAGTGCCAACTGTACATTCTCAGTAGTTCACTTGAACACCAAGCCTACAGTTCCATGCCAATGTTTTCCATTCACAATAACAGCACAGACTCTCCTACAAACAGTTACCTATGAGTGTGTTCAGTCCTGGAAGTGACCCGTGAAGATCCGGGTTAGAATAGGTCTTCGGCAATCCATGCTTGCTGTAAAAGGCGACTATATACTTGGCGAAAGAGGCGACTGACAGGTTCAGGTGGTCAGGCTCGCTACACTCATGCATGTCATCGTATCCCAATCAATCACTGGGTTGCCTGGTCCAGAATCAATTATTTACAGACCGCCGTCATATACCTGGAATATTGCTGAGTGCAGCATTAAACAATTAAACAACAAACAAACAGTCCTGGAAGTGTGTGTTGCAGATCTGGCCTACTGGAGTTGCTGCATGCATGGAACCCACAGGTAGCAGACGTGTATGAAACGCAAATAACAGAACAGAAGAGATCCTACTCTGAGAGGTGAGTATTATTGTTTGTTGAAGGATGAGGTGAAACCTAGTTTCTAAAGTTTGCCTTGTTGTTGGCTATGTCTTAGTTTCTAGGTCACCCTACTGAAAGTCAAGTGAGCTTATGTTGTGGTGCATTGTCCATCTGTCATCAACAACTGCATTTTCGTCATCCCCGTAACTACAAGGAAACTTTGTATGAAAGATTCCTCAAAAGTGCTCACAGAATTCCAATCTGATTTTAAACATGGCTGCCATTGCATGGGTGGAGTTAGTAGTAGGACCTAAACAGGTATGTTTCTGTTTTTTAGTGATTGTATGCAATTTGACCATTCAACCATTACAGCATAATGGCTGCTGTCTCCAAATTGAAAATGCTGTTGTGAGCAATAGAAATAATAGCAGGTGCAAAACTAGGAAACTGTATGTAACACCCCACCACACAAGAGCCTGCGCCATGTTTAATCAAATTATCTGCTATCCAGCTAGGCTTGACTCCAGTTGGGAGTCTGTCGCTGACCAGGCACCCTGTGGTCCATGTTTATCAACAACGGAACACAGCTGCCATTCCCAACAATCCCTGGCAAATATTGAGTAAATATTGAAACTGCATTTTGCTATTTTTGTGTAGCTGGAACAAAGTGTTACATTTCATCATGGAGGTAGACAAGCCGATCTCGGTGCAGAGGACACAGAATACAGAGGTTGTCAAGGTGAGTCCGATGTGCAGGAATGGTGATTAGGAAGGTCTGCACCATCAGTTGTGGACACTGATTTGGTCCAGGATGTTCTGATTTCCCCGTTGTTGAACGCCATATGTCTATATCAACAAAGCAGTATGTGTATACCATTGAAATACCAAAATTTGGGCCCCATTTTGGAAAAATCTTCTTGAGCTGTGTAGCCATAGCAGGTTTGTGTTTTGTTCAGTTGTTGAGTATTTGTTATTATTTGTCCTCAGTTAAAAGATAAGGACCGGCAGAACATCAAGGACAGATTCACTGTAAGTAACTTTAGGCATTATTTGTTACAAGACACAACTGAACTTTTGCTATTTAGACCTTTCTTATTGCTTCTACATGTCTAAAACATCAGTGTGATCGATACATGTCATACCGTATTCGCCTTATGTAGTGCCCTGCTCCAATAAGCTTCCCTGAGCAACTTCTAAACAAGTCTAAGTAATCTTTATAAACGCCCCCTAGTTTTTACAGAAAGCAGCAACATAGTACATGTTTATAATATAAACACCACTTCATGAAAATAATTCATGAAAGTTTCCCATTGAAATATCAATTTATTTTTTGGAGATGTCTTATTTTTGACATTAGTATGTATCCAAATTTAATGTGTATTTGATTTTTCATGGGAAGCATTTGGGACTTTGTTCCATGGTCATTTCATAAGCTGCATTTAGGCGACCCATTATATCCATATTTGTGTCTCTTTTTTGCTTTAACTTTAAATTTGGATACAGACTAATGTCAAAATTCAGATTCCTCCAAAAAATGCAATGATATTTCAATGGAAAACTTTCATGAATCATTTTCATAAAGTGATGTTTCTTCAGCAGTTCAGTGTATTATGAAAAAAAAGGTTTTAGTTTCAACAATGTTTGAAGTATGTTTGTCCACTACCCCTCGATCTCTAAAAAAGTTGTTGTATTGTTTTAATAAGTGCATTCCCCACCCCACTCCCCTCTCTTATCAATTTTCTAAACATATGGTGAATTAAGTAAAATTGTCCCTGCATACTTACATATTAGAACATTACTAGATTATTGTTAAACAAAAATAGATTATAAGATTAATGCTGATCAATGATTGTACTATTGTGTGTGAGATATATTTGAAACTTCTCGCATTCACTTCTCTCCAAAGATGCACTTATGTATTAACTGTATGTGGTTGTGTGCCAGCTAATAAGTGCAGGTTAGACCACATATATTTGTGTAAATCCTTGCTTGCAGGGCTTCAACAAGGAGCTGGAGGAGATTTACAAGATCCAGAAGGGTTACGCTGTCCCGGACCCCGAGCTCCGCGAATCCCTCAAGGCTGACAACAAGAAGTATATCACACTGCGTTACGAAGTGTTCCTCAATAAATACAAGTCTCTCAACTTCACAAAGAACACTCATAAGTACATCAAGTATGACGTGGTCGGGGTGGAGAGCCTCATTGATAAGTTCTTTGATGCCTCTGCATAGATATCCATTTCTGATGGCAAATAATGTGGTCATTTGGACATCTGTTGTATTTGCAAGGATTAACTGTGGATCTGCTGTTTGTCACTGCGTATGATGTATGCTCTAATGTGTTGTTGTTGTTGTTGTTGCTAACAGAGCTTTGTTATTGAAAGTAGTGGACATTAGCCCAAACACAGCTACTCGTGGAGTCAGGAAGCCCTACTTTATGGTGATGTATGAAGTCTTCTAACTCTCAACTAATATTTATAGAATTATCTTTGAGTTTTGACCCTATTTTAGGTTGAAATGTGGAGGTTTTAGGTAGGGGATGTTATCACCTGCAATATGGAAAGGATCTAACACAATGGAAAATTATACTTCATGTTTATTGTGTACTATGGGAAATGTTTGTGTGCTGATATGGCAATGTTAGCTTACTTCAGCATTCAGTGGCCTGGAGTGTCAGATGCTGCTCCACCCAAGGGAGGGAACTGCAATCCTTCGTTAGGAAAAGATTAGCAACAGTTAATTGTTTTAAACCATTTTGAATTGTTATTCATGAAAAGCATCTGTTGGTTGACAACCTGAGAAAGTGAACAAATCTAAGCTGTGTAATGGAGACCTAGTACTTGCAGGTGGACCTCTGTTCCTCTCCCTCATCCTGGAGACCTAGTACTTGCAGGTGGACCTCTGTTCCTCTCCCTCATCCTGGAGACCTAGTACTTGCAGGTGGACCTCTGTTCCTCTCCCTCATCCTGGAGACCTAGTACTTGCAGGTGGACCTCTGGTCCTCTCCCTCATCCTGGAGACCTAGTACTTGCAGGTGGACCTCTGTTCCTCTCCCTCATCCTGGAGACCTAGTACTTGCAGGTGGACCTCTGTTCCTCTCCCTCATCCTGGAGACCTAGTACTTGCAGGTGGACCTCTGTTCCTCTCCCTCATCCTCTGGGTTGCACCTCCAGATTGCTTACTTCATGAACTGTGCAATATTCTTTACCGACACATAAACATTTAAAACATGGTTACTGCTTGTAACCAATGTTGTGTTTCACATGCTAATTGTTATGTTTGAGATTTTGTATAGATGTACAAGTATACAATATGTAGATTACTTGTAATTTACGCTATGTAATCCATTTCATTCAATCTTATATGTATGTTGACATGTTATTTTGTGATAAATGCTATTTGATTTTGGGATGTTAAAATGAATGCTTGGTATTGAACTGAACAGTTGGCACATGTAAATGTCAAAGACAAGAACATTCAGAAATATTTTCCTCTTGTGCTAGAATCAAGAACCAGATGTCAATTTTAGACAGGCACTTAGACTTGCATGAATGTTCACTATGCTTGCTGCTTAAGGATGCAAAGGTTGTGGTCATCTTTCCTTCCTCTCTTGTACAATACTGGTATTTATGTGTATGTCCAAATCAGTGGCACCACACTGTATGTCTATTTACTAGTCATTTATAATGTATGTAAGTCTCATTTCTGACATGAAATAAAACATTTTATCATACGAGTGATACACTGGGGAACATGTTAAACATATAAAGTAGGCATGTGGATGTGTGAAGAAAATGTGCACACTGCATGAGAGAGGGAAAAAGATTCTTGTCGGCTTTGTGTTAATATTGGTTTGACTATGCAGGATTACTGGCAACCAATTTCACACCTTGACCATTTAGTTGCTGTTAGAATGTCTGCATACACGGACACCAAGTCCATGATCCTATGGCTTAATGTCGTCAGTTTGTTCTTGGCCTCAATTAAGAAACACGCAAACAGATTGGATGGTAAGCCTAGACCTCCACGACGCCTGTCTTCATGTTCCCATTCATCTACGATCTCATAGGGCTCTATTGTTGGGCTCTTGTGATGTTCCGATCCTCCGGTCATCACGTATCACATACCGCAGGTACTTGACCATAGGTGTGACCAGTGATGTGGGATTAGTGAAGGGCTCTCGAGGACACCATACCAGTTCTCGTGGGTTTCACCAAAGTAGTAAATGTCTGAGACCTGCATAACTCCTGACTGTCCTCCAACATTAAGCTTTCACGCTGTGTAATAACTGGAATACTGTCAAAAGCTGTGTTAAACCCAATTCACTCACTCACTTCAGGACCCGTGAAGATCAGGGGTAGAATAGGTCTTCCGCAATCCATGCTTGCCATAAAAGTCCACTATGTTTGTCGTAAGAGGCGACAAACGGGATCAGGTGGTCAGGCAAGCTGTTTTGTTTGATGCATGTCATTGTATCCCAATTGCGTGGATCGATGCTAATGATGTCAATCACTGGATTGTCTGGTCCAGACTCGATTATTTACAGACCGCCGTCATAAAGCTGAAATATTGCAGAGTGCGGCATTAAACAACAAACAAACAAACAAACATTCACTTCAGCGTCAGAATGTATTCAGCAGCTTTCAGACCAAGGGGAGGCAATTCTGAGCCGTGACCTGGCGGAGAGGCACCTTTGGGGCTTTGTGTTGTGGGATCGATGACAGGGAATTTGCAATATTTTGTATTAGGATAAGTATATTACTATCCTAAATATTCCAATTTATGTAAATTAAGTTATCTGATGATGGAAAAAGAAATAAATAAGTTTGACAACAAAACTATTTTATTTAGAAAGTAACAATGACAGAATAGACACATTAGATTAGCGTATCACAGCCTTTGCTTTTAAGTTCTTGTAGACAATCATGACATGCTTTTGGAAACCAGTAAACGTCCAGGTGTTCATGACATGAATGTGCATCATTTATACAAAGTTCTGTCCAGACAAATAGCATGAATGTCAGTTAATAATTTTATTTCCGGTCTAAGCGGACATGATGAAGAATTCATGAATTGTCACGAACATAAGGTTTTGAAAAGTTCAAATTGGCATCGCTAACGTTGACTTCAATGGCTGGACAGACCATAAGGCCTTTAGTCATACAGGAAACAAAGCGACATCAGCTTCCTAACATTATTAACCCGTGCAAGCAGAAACCGTTCCTTCCTGGACGCGATTAATACATACTTCATCACAGACCACATCATACAAGTCGCTCAAGGCCAATGACAGCTCTTAAGCACAAGAAAGGAGAGTCATCTCCCTTATCAATGGTCATCATTCACGCACACAGCCTGTAACCAGTCCTTCGCGTCAAACCCGTTGTAGCCAGTTCCAAATGTGAACGGTTGCTGTTAAAGCTAAAAATACTGCATCGTTTGGTAGGGGCAAAATTCAGTAACAGTTAACAAGGTAGCTCCCACTTTCTCATGCAGACCCAACATGAATTTAAGACAAGTGCAAACAATGAAATGAAAAACAACACAAACCATACTTAAACAGTAAAACCTCTCAAAACTGCAACTTCATCAATGCTGAAGTTCGAAACTACAGAAACATGCTGCGCTGAAATATATTGCTGCAGCTTTTACACAAGCATTACATATTGTGTATGGATAGTCTGGAAAGGCTTTACATCATCTGTATTTACATGTCTTAGGTTAACACGTGTTTATACCTGCTCTTAGCAACTGAAATTCATGTTTCAAATATCAGCAGTAAGTTTGTCGTTATTGCATATGCCATCATTAGAGTTGATTGTACGTGACATGTGTCATATTATCACATCTAAGGCACATGATTAAGGTTGATAGATAATTTAACTTGAGCATAAGGCCTCCAAAATCTGTTGTTAAAACTTCTTGTTTACATCATGAAAAGGGCTGTCATGATAACCAGGACACTTGCGATTGCAGAAATCCTTATGGTTTCTGGAAAGAAAGTATTTTCAAAACTACATTTTATACAAGAAGTCACTGATGGATTACAAACTATTTTCTTAATACATCTGATGCTGCAATGTCCAACCTAACCTGGGTATCGTGTGAAATACACACCTAGCTTGAAGTGAATATGAGTGATCCAGTTGATACTCGATAATGATGATCTCATTGTATTTATGTTTGGTTGTTGTTTAACGCCGCTCTCAGCAATATTCCAGCTATATGACGGCGGTCTGTAAATAATCGATTCTGGACCAGACAATCCAGTGATTGACATCATGAGCATCGATCAACGCAATTGGGATACCATGACATGCATCAGCCAAGTCAGCCTGACCACCTGATCCTGTTAGTCCCCTCTAACTACAAGCATAGTAGCCTTTTACGGCATGCGTGGATTGCTGAAGACCTATTCTATGCCGGACCTTCACGGGTCGATCTCATTGTAAACATGTCTGTCTGTATGTTCACTTCACCGGGGACTATGTTGGCTTGTGGCAGAAACATGTGGCAAAGCCGAGACCACGTTTGTTATAGTCAACTGAAAATCTGTTTTCAGACAGTGACCGGTATATTTAATACATAAGGAAGTTATATATGGATGCCAGAGTACTTGTTTTCTTCTGTCGACTACCATCAAATGAACTTGCCTGCTCCGCTGTCGCCGACGTGGTTGTAGCCCCCTGCGAACATGACTGCCTGCAGCTGGTCTGGGTTGAACAACTTCTGCTGCTCGGGAGTGATGCGCTGAGCCTGGGACTTGGACAGGCCTCGGATCTGGTTCACTGTGAGTGACTGTAAAACACGTCAAACGTGTTGGACACGTACATACAACAGGGTCACACTCTGAGAGGGACTGTAAAACACGCCAAACGTCTAGGACACGTACATACAACAGGGTCACACACTGAGAGGGACTGTAAAACACGTTCAACGTGTAGGACACGTACATACAACAGGGTCACACACTGAGAGTGACTGTAAAACACGTTCAACGTGTAGGACACGTACATACAACAGGGTCACACACTGAGAGTGACTGTAAAACACGTTCAACGTGTAGGACACGTACATACAACAGGGTCACACACTGAGAGGGACTGTAAAACACGCCAAACGTCGAGGACACGTACATACAACAGGGTCACACACTGAGATTGACTGTAAAACACGTAAAACGTCTAGGACACGTTCATACAACAGGGTCACACACCGAGAGGGACTGTAAAACACGTCAAACTTGTAGGACACGTACATACAACAGGGTCACACACTGAGAGGGACTGTAAAACACGCCAAACGTCGAGGACACGTACATACAACAGGGTCACACTCTGAGAGGGACTGTAAAACACGTCATACATGTTGGACGCGAACATATGTAGGCCCTGTCGTTTCAGAGTGAGTTAGTTGGGTTTAAGGCCGATTTTAAAAGTGTACTGGTTATATTACGGCGTGTCAGCTTAATGTGGGAGGAAATCCTGAAGTGATGCAGGTCTCAGACATTTACCACTTTGGTGAAACCCAAGAGCACGGAGATGGTGATGACAAACCTAGAAACATAATCGGGGCGAACAGGGAAATGAACCCACAGTCAAAGGTTTCTGGCGTGCCCAAATTACGTAACTCTTCACAACGAAGTACGGTGGCTTAAACGACTCGGCCACCCCTGGACCCGTAATTTAAGAGAAGACGCAGAAATACAACACATATTACGAAAACCCCATGCTGCATATCTATTTTTTATAATGACACATGCAGCAATGGCCGTGTAACGGCCAAACAATACATTTTCAATATTGCAATCGGATCAGAATTGTATGAGCACATTTTAGACACCATAACAGCTGGGAATCATTGTTATACAATTTCAGTTCCATGTGTCTTGTAATTTCAGAAGAGACGTCGAAAATGCAAACGTTAACGACAGACGGACGAGAGAACGGACGGACGGACGGACAACCGGAGGGGCGATGTACAGCGCGCCACGACGTAGGCTTTCATCAAATACTGGAGTACAAGGCTTACACTGATTGTAGCGGCAGGCAGGATGGCGATGGTTTGCGGGCGGATCTCGGCCAGGTGACTCCCCGACATCTGGGACAGCTCGGAACCAGTCAGGCCGGCTGAAGGTGACAGTACTCATTAAAGTAGATCCCAAAATCAGTAATGATTTGAGCAGATTAACTCTATTAGCAAAACATTTACACCCGCATCGTATATTTCTGGGAATCCACATGTGGATTTAGAAAATGAATTTGATTACAAGGTAAATACTATCAGTAGGATAGTCTCATGCTAAACCGTTAACGAAAATCTGATATGAAGTGTAGAGCACCAAAATTAAATTAAATTAGTTTCCATTAACTAATCAGTCACATTACCGAGGACGTTGTTGACGTTGGTGGTGGTGGCGGTGGACCAAGTACTGACGGCACCAAACACATTCTTGGCCTTTCCAGCGAAAGCCTTAAGCTGCTGTTCAGAACATTTGGAAAGTTCGCCAATCTTGATGACAGCGTCTCTGTAATGATACAAACAAGGATATTTTTATGGATAGTTGTCATGCAATGTCTGATGTCCAGTACGTGGAATAAGCTAAGTCATTACTATGAAAAAGTGCAGTATGAACTGTGGAACCAGACAGTGCAGTATGGACTGTGGAACCAGACAGTGCAGTATGAACTGTGGAACCAGACAGTGCAGTATGGACTGTGGAACCAGAAAGTGCTGTGTGGACTGTCGAACCCGAAAGTGCAGTATGGACTGTGGAACTAGACAGTGCAGTATGGACTGTGGAACTAGACAGTGCAGTATGGACTGTGGAACCAGACAGTGCAGTATGGACTGTGGAACCAGACAGTGCTGTATGGACTGTGGAACTAGACAGTGCAGTATGGACTGTGGAACCAGACAGTGCTGTATGGACTGTGGAACCAGACAGTGCAGTATGGACTGTGGAACCAGACAGTGCTGTATGGACTGTGGAACCAGACAGTGCTGTATGGACTGTGGAACCAGACAGTGCAGTATGGACTGTGGAACCAGACAGTGCTGTATGGACTGTGGAACTAGACAGTGCAGTATGGACTGTGGAACTAGACAGTGCAGTATGGACTGTGGAACCAGACAGTGCTGTATGGACTGTGGAACTAGACAGTGCAGTATGGACTGTGGAACCAGACAGTGCTGTGTGGACTGTGGAACTAGACAGTGCAGTATGGACTGTGGAACCGGACAGTGCAGTATGGACTGTGGAACCAGACAGTGCTGTATGGACTGTGGAACCTGACAGTGCTGTATGGACTGTGGAACCAGACAGTGCTGTATGGACTGTGGAACCAGACAGTGCTGTATGGACTGTGGAACTAGACAGTGCAGTATGGACTGTGGAACTAGACAGTGCAGTATGGACTGTGGAACTAAACAGTGCAGTATGGACTGTGGAACCAGAAAGTGCAGTATGGACTGTGGAACTAGACAGTGCAGTATGGACTGTGGAACTAAACAGTGCAGTATGGACTGTGGAACCAGACAGTTCTGTATGGACTGTGGAACTAGACAGTGCAGTATGGACTGTGGAACTAGACAGTGCAGTATGGACTGTGGAACTAAACAGTGCAGTATGGACTGTGGAACCAGACAGTGCTGTATGGACTGTGGAACCAGACAGTGCAGTATGGACTGTGGAACCAGAAAGTGCAGTATGGACTGTGGAACCAGAAAGTGCTGTATGGACTGTGGAACCAGACAGTGCAGTATGGACTGTGGAACCAGAAAGTGCAGTATGGACTGTGGAACCAGAAAGTGCAGTATGGACTGTGGAACCAGAAAGTGCTGTGTGAACTGTGGAACCAGACAGTGCTGGTACACATACCGGAGTCAACATGCCATTAGTTGCTGTCTATACTCTACATCAGTTGACCTGACCACTTGGTTTGACCACTGTACGTTTATCAAGCATCAACAAAAAAATCGAAATCAGCGTGACATCACTTTCGAAACCCATTGCAATCGTGTATGTCCGTTAGGTCTATTGACATTTTTCTTGGAGCCGTGAAGATCCGGGTTAGAATAGGTGTTCAGCAACCCATGCTTGCCGTAAGAGGCGAGTATGCTTGTCGTGAGAGGCGACTAACGGGATCGGGTGGTCAGACTCGCTGACTTGGTTGATGCATGTCATCGTACACCAACTGCGATGACCGAGGCTCTTTATGTCAATCACTGGATTGTCTGGTCCAGACTCGATTGTTTACAGACCATATAATTGGAATATTGCTGAGTGGTGTTAAACAACAAACAAACAACATACGTTACGTATGTATTTGAAACGTGTTCGAAAAGAAGCGAATGAACATATTTGTCGTGTGGCAGCCTTGATTTTGAAACGTTAATTACACACAATTGACATATTGAACAAAACACATTAAAACTGAGGATTTCACACTGGGTGACATGCATGATGTCTGAAAAATGGGTGTTCACCCCATTCTGAATTACTAATTTTCCACATGCAGCACGAAGTTTCCGAAACCATTAGTCCCTTCTGAAATACACACCGGGAATTTACGTGATCAAATTACGACATACCCATAGGCTGCATCTGTGATGGACCCGATCTGGGTATCAGTGAGCCCACAGGAAAAGTGTCCGATGGTATTCAGTTCAGTTCCCGTGATGCTCGCTACACTGTCAGACTTCTCACTCGTCAGCCATTTGCTGGCAACACTGGCGCGCTGTTTGAACGAAGAGACGAGGTAGGAGATAAGTTATTATCGTCCCGTGTTAAATATATAGATACAAAATATGTCGTAGTATTACTTCCAGGTGCGCTAGATGATTTGGACAAGGTATGTTATCTTTGTTTTGATTTAGCACACAGGAGCTGGGTGACAGATATTTCATTTGTATTCCATGACAAAAGCATCCCTGCTTTCATGGCTGTCAATATGTTCATTTAAGTTTTCGGGTCGTAATTTCTTTTCCAGAACATTGCAGCTAATTTGATCATCATTCATGATAAATGTACGCGCCTATTATACCAGTATTTCCATACGGAAACATACATAATGATCTTGTGGAGAACCAACCTGTTCTGGGGTCCATGTTGGGCGAGTTCCATGTGTTCCGAGGAGGGATGTTGTCCAAGCCAGTGTCCCCAGGTCAGCAGTGGAGAGTCCCTCCAACAAGGTGCCGGAGTCTTGAACGTTGTTTGCCGTCCATGCAGTGAGGTCCGAGTTGTGAATCTGAACCATGGAAACCACGAGAGAAGTGATTGTATATTTTTGTCTCATGTACTTATTTCATTTAGTTCATTTATCAAATCACCAATAAGATAATATAAACTAGTGGTCCCCAAATAATATAAACTTGTGACCCCCAAACAGCAAATAAAACATGAATAGGTTATTATATTGTGCTTGCATGATATAAGGATTTTGCCAGTAATAACCCACACACATGACCCAAACCATAGTGTAAACACTGACCGCTGCAGTCTTCAGACGACTAGCCAGTTCTGTCTTCTGCTCGGCTGACCACTCCATCACCTTACCGAGGGTCGTGAGGCACTCAAGGAAAACTGCGTCTGAGAGTTCCTTTAGTTGGACAGTGGTCAGAGCCTTTGCCTGCTGACCCATAGCCTTGATGTCGCTGCAAGTCAGTGATGCTGAAACACAACGTGGATCACTGTGAACGTTGGTGTGTCCTTGATGACCTATTTGTATGAGACGAAAGCTACTCAGAGAGAAGTTTGGAGGTATTCATTTGCTTGCTGTGCTTTAACTAACAACTGAAAATACTTCTCCAGTACCTCATGCTTTCCTGAAGGTCAGCCAACAAGGTGGCTCCGTCATGAGTATTAGGCCCGTTCCAAAGTGAAAATACCAATGTCAATACTAGGAATTGCTGACTAGTGACAGATCCATAGCAAGACTGAGACGCCAATAACTAGTAAAACATCCATTCTTAGACCGAGAAGTCAATAACTAGTAAAACATCCATTCTTAGACTGAGACGTCAGAAACTAGCGAAACATCCATAGAAAGACTGAGGCGTCAATAACTAGTAAAACATTTATTCTTAGACTGAGACGTCAGTAACTAGTGAAACATCCATAGCAAGACTGAGCCGTCAATAACTAGTAAAACACCCATTCTTAGACTGAGACGTCAGTAACTAGCGAAACATCCATAGCAAGACTGAGAGGCCAATAACTAGTAAAAAATCCATATTTAGACTGAGACGTCAGTAACTAGTGAAACATCCATAGCAAGACTGAGACGTCAATAACTAGTAAAACATCCATTGTTAGACTGGGCCGTCAATAACTAGTAAAACATCCATTCTTAGACTGAAAAGTCAATAACTAGTAAAACATCCATTCTTAGACTGAGACGTCAGTAACTAGTAAAACACCCATTCTTAGACTGAGACGTCAGTAACTAGTGAAACATCCATAGCAAGACTGAGCCGTCAATAACTAGTAAAACATCCATTCTTAGACTGAGACGTCAGTAACTAGTGAAACTTCCATAGCAAGACTGAGACGTCAATAACTAGTAAAACACCCATTCTTAGACTCAGAGGCCAATAACTAGTAAACATCCATGGCAAGCCTGAGTGGTCAATAGCTAGTAAAACATCCATATTTAGACTGAGACGTCAGTAACTAGTGAAACATCCATAGCAAGACTGAGACGTCAATAACTAGTAAAACATCCATTGTTAGACTGGGCCGTCAATAACTAGTAAAACATCCATTCTTAGACTGAGACGTCAGTAACTAGTAAAACATCCATAGCAAGACTGAGACGTCAATAACTAGTAAAACATCCATTGTTAGACTGGGCCGTCAATAACTAGTAAAACATCCATTCTTAGACTGAGACGTCAGTAACTAGTAAAACACCCATTCTTAGACTGAGACGTCAGTAACTAGTGAAACATCCATAGCAAGACTGAGCCGTCAATAACTAGTAAAACATCCATTCTTAGACTGAGACGTCAGTAACTAGTGAAACTTCCATAGCAAGACTGAGACGTCAATAACTAGTAAAACACCCATTCTTAGACTCAGAGGCCAATAACTAGTAAACATCCATGGCAAGCCTGAGTGGTCAATAGCTAGTAAAACATCCATATTTAGACTGAGACGGCAGTAACTAGTGAAACATCCATAGCAAGACTGAGCCGTCAATAACTAGTAAAACATCCATTCTTAGACTGAGACGTCAGTAACTAGTAAAACACCCATTCTTAGACTGAGACGTCAGTAACTAGTGAAACATCCATAGCAAGACTGAGCCATCAATAACTAGTAAAACATCCATTCTTAGACCGAGAAGTCAATAACTAGTAAAACATCCATTTTTAGACTGAGACGTCAGAAACTAGCGAAACATCCATTGAAAGACTGAGGCGTCAATAACTAGTAAAACATTTATTCTTAGACTGAGACGTCAGTAACTAGTGAAACATCCATAGCAAGACTGAGCCGTCAATAACTAGTAAAACACCCATTCTTAGACTGAGACGTCAGTAACTAGCAAAACATCCATAGCAAGACTGAGAGGCCAATAACTAGTAAAATATCCATATTTAGACTGAGACGTCAGTAACTAGTGAAACATCCATAGCAAGACTGAGACGTCAATAACTAGTAAAACATCCATTGTTAGACTGGGCCGTCAATAACTAGTAAAACATCCATTCTTAGACTGAAAAGTCAATAACTAGTAAAACATCCATTCTTAGACTGAGACGTCAGTAACTAGTAAAACACCCATTCTTAGACTGAGACGTCAGTAACTAGTGAAACATCCATAGCAAGACTGAGCCGTCAATAACTAGTAAAACATCCATTCTTAGACTGAGACGTCAGTAACTAGTGAAACTTCCATAGCAAGACTGAGACGTCAATAACTAGTAAAACACCCATTCTTAGACTCAGAGGCCAATAACTAGTAAACATCCATGGCAAGCCTGAGTGGTCAATAGCTAGTAAAACATCCATATTTAGACTGAGACGGCAGTAACTAGTGAAACATCCATAGCAAGACTGAGACGTCAATAACTAGTAAAACACCCATTCTTAGACTGAGAGGCCAATAACTAGTAAACATCCATGGCAAGCCTGAGAGGTCAATAGCTAGTAAAACATCCATATTTAGACTGAGACGGCAGTAACTAGTGAAACATCCATAGCCAGACTGAGAGGTCAATAACTAGTAAAACATCCATTCTTAGACTGAGACGTCAGTAACTAGTAAAACACCCATTCTTAGACTGAGACGTCAGTAACTAGTGAAACATCCATAGCAAGACTGAGCCATCAATAACTAGTAAAACATCCATTCTTAGACCGTGAAGTCAATAACTAGTAAAACATCCATTCTTAGACTGAGACGTCAGAAACTAGCGAAACATCCATTGAAAGACTGAGGCGTCAATAACTAGTGAAACATTTATTCTTAGACTGAGACGTCAGTAACTAGTGAAACATCCATAGCAAGACTGAGCCGTCAATAACTAGTAAAACACCCATTCTTAGACTGAGACGTCAGTAACTAGCGAAACATCCATAGCAAGACTGAGAGGCCAATAACTAGTAAAATATCCATATTTAGACTGAGACGTCAGTAACTAGTGAAACATCCATAGCAAGACTGAGACGTCAATAACTAGTAAAACATCCATTGTTAGACTGGGCCGTCAATAACTAGTAAAACATCCATTCTTAGACTGAAAAGTCAATAACTAGTAAAACATCCATTCTTAGACTGAGACGTCAGTAACTAGTAAAACACCCATTCTTAGACTGAGACGTCAGTAACTAGTGAAACATCCATAGCAAGACTGAGCCGTCAATAACTAGTAAAACATCCATTCTTAGACTGAGACGTCAGTAACTAGTGAAACTTCCATAGCAAGACTGAGACGTCAATAACTAGTAAAACACCCATTCTTAGACTCAGAGGCCAATAACTAGTAAACATCCATGGCAAGCCTGAGAGGTCAACAGCTAGTAAAACATCCATATTTAGACTGAGACGGCAGTAACTAGTGAAACATCCATAGCCAGACTGAGAGGTCAATAACTAGTAAAACATCCATTCTTAGACCGAGAAGTCAATAACTAGTAAAACATCCATTCTTAGACTGAGAAGTCAGTAACTAGTTAAACATCCATAGCAAGACTGAGACGTCAGTAACTAGTAAAACACCCATTCTTAGACTGAAAAGTCAATAACTAGTAAAACATCCATTCTTAGACTGAGACGTCAGTAACTAGTAAAACACCCATTCTTAGACTGAGACGTCAGTAACTAGTGAAACATCCATAGCAAGACTGAGCCGTCAATAACTAGTAAAACATCCATTCTTAGACTGAGACGTCAGTAACTAGTGAAACTTCCATAGCAAGACTGAGACGTCAATAACTAGTAAAACACCCATTCTTAGACTCAGAGGCCAAAAACTAGTAAACATCCATGGCAAGCCTGAGTGGTCAATAGCTAGTAAAACATCCATATTTAGACTGAGACGGCAGTAACTAGTGAAACATCCATAGCAAGACTGAGCCGTCAATAACTAGTAAAACACCCATTCTTAGACTGAGAGGCCAATAACTAGTAAACATCCATGGCAAGCCTGAGAGGTCAATAGCTAGTAAAACATCCATATTTAGACTGAGACGGCAGTAACTAGTGAAACATCCATAGCCAGACTGAGAGGTCAATAACTAGTAAAACATCCATTCTTAGACTGAGACGTCAGTAACTAGTAAAACACCCATTCTTAGACTGAGACGTCAGTAACTAGTGAAACATCCATAGCAAGACTGAGCCATCAATAACTAGTAAAACATCCATTCTTAGACCGTGAAGTCAATAACTAGTAAAACATCCATTCTTAGACTGAGACGTCAGAAACTAGCGAAACATCCATTGAAAGACTGAGGCGTCAATAACTAGTGAAACATTTATTCTTAGACTGAGACGTCAGTAACTAGTGAAACATCCATAGCAAGACTGAGCCGTCAATAACTAGTAAAACACCCATTCTTAGACTGAGACGTCAGTAACTAGCGAAACATCCATAGCAAGACTGAGAGGCCAATAACTAGTAAAATATCCATATTTAGACTGAGACGTCAGTAACTAGTGAAACATCCATAGCAAGACTGAGACGTCAATAACTAGTAAAACATCCATTGTTAGACTGGGCCGTCAATAACTAGTAAAACATCCATTCTTAGACTGAAAAGTCAATAACTAGTAAAACATCCATTCTTAGACTGAGACGTCAGTAACTAGTAAAACACCCATTCTTAGACTGAGACGTCAGTAACTAGTGAAACATCCATAGCAAGACTGAGCCGTCAATAACTAGTAAAACATCCATTCTTAGACTGAGACGTCAGTAACTAGTGAAACTTCCATAGCAAGACTGAGACGTCAATAACTAGTAAAACACCCATTCTTAGACTCAGAGGCCAATAACTAGTAAACATCCATGGCAAGCCTGAGAGGTCAACAGCTAGTAAAACATCCATATTTAGACTGAGACGGCAGTAACTAGTGAAACATCCATAGCCAGACTGAGAGGTCAATAACTAGTAAAACATCCATTCTTAGACCGAGAAGTCAATAACTAGTAAAACATCCATTCTTATACTGAGAAGTCAGTAACTAGTTAAACATCCATAGCAAGACTGAGACGTCAGTAACTAGTAAAACACCCATTCTTAGACTGAGACGTCAGTAACTAGTGAAACATCCATTCTTAGACTGAGACGTCAATAACTAGTAAAACACCCATTCTGAGACTGAGACGTCAATAACTAGTGAAACATCCATAGCAAGACTGAGACGTCAATAACTAGTAAAACACCCATTCTTAGACTCAGAGGCCAATAACTAGTAAACATCCATGGCAAGCATGAGAGGTCAACAGCTAGTAAAACATCCATATTTAGACTGAGACGGCAGTAACTAGTGAAACATCCATAGCCAGACTGAGAGGTCAATAACTAGTAAAACATCAATTCTTAGACTGAGACGTCAGTAACTAGTTTAACATCCATAGCAAGACTGAGAGGTCAATAACTAGTAAAACATCCATTCTTAGACTGAGACGTCAGTAACTAGCGAAACATCCATGGCAAGACTGAGAGGTCAATAACTAGTAAAACATCCATTGTTAGACTGAGCCGTCAATAACTAGTAAAACATCCATTCTTAGACTGAGAAGTCAATAACTAGTAAAACATCCATTCTCAGACTGAGACGTCAATAACTAGTAAAACACCCATTCTTAGACTGAGACGTAAGTAACTAGTGAAACATCCATAGCAAGACTGAGGGGTCAATAACTAGTAAAACACCCATTCTTAGACTGAGAGGCCAATAACTAGTAAACATCCATAGAAAGCATGAGAGGTCAACAGCTAGTAAAACATCCATATTTAGACTGAGACGGCAGTAACTAGTGAAACATCCATAGCAAGACTGAGACGTCAATAACTAGTATAACACCCATTCTTAGGCTGAGACGTCAATAACTAGTAAAACATCCATTCTTAGGCTGAGACGGCAGTAACTAGTGAAACTTCCATAGCAAGATTGAGACGTCAATAACTAGTAAAACATCCATTGTTAGACTGAGATGTCAGTTACTAGTAAAACACCCATTCTTAGACTGAGAAGACAATAACTAGTAAAACATCCATTCTTAGACTAAGACGTCAGTAACTAGTAAAACATTCATAGCAAGACTGAGAGGTCAATAACTAGTAAAACATCCATAGCAAGACTGAGGCGTCAATAACTAGTAAAACATCCATGGCAAGACTGAGAGGTCAGTAACTAGTAGAACATCCATAGCAAGCATGAGAGGTCAATAGCTAGTAAAACATCCATATTTAGACTGAGACGGCAGTAACTAGTGAAACATCCATAGCAAGACTGAGCCGTCAATAACTTGTAAACCATCAATTCTTAGACTGAGAAGTCAATAACTAGTAAAACATCCATTCTTAGACTGAGACGTCAGTAACTAGTAAAACATCCATGGCAAGACTAACGAGTGAAACATCCATAGCAAGTCTGAGCCGTCAATAACTAGTAAAACACCCATTCTCAGACTGAGACGTCAATAACTAGTAACACATCCATTCTTAGACTGAGACGTCAGTAACTAGCGAAACATCCATGGCAAGACTGAGAGGCCAATAACTAGTAAAACATCCATGGCAAGACTGAGAGGTCAGTAACTAGTAAAACATCCATAGCAAGCATGAGAGGTCAATAGCTTGTAAAACATCCATAGCAAGACTGAGACGGCAGTAACTAGTGAAACATCCATAGGAAGACTGAGACGCAAATAACTAGTAAAACATCCATTGTTAGACTGAGCCGTCAATAACTAGTAAACCATCAAATCTTAGACTGAGAAGTCAATAACTAGTAAAACATCCATTCTTAGACTGAGACGTCAGTAACTAGTGAAACATCCATGGCAAGACTAAGCCGTCAATAACTAGTAAAACACTCATTCTTAGACTGACACGTCAGTAACTAGCGAAACATCCATGGCAAGACTGAGAGGTCAATAACTAGTAAAACATCCATTCTTAGACTGAGATGTCAGTAACTTGTGAAACATCCATAGCAAGACTGAGAGGTCAATAACTAATGAAACATCCATTGTTAGACTGGGCCGTCAATAACTAGTAAAACATCCATTCTTAGACTGAGACGTCAGTAACTAGTTAAACATCCATAGCAAGACTGAGAGGTCAATAACTAGTATAACACCCATTCTTAGACCGAGAAGTCAATAGCTAGTAAAACACCCATTCTTAGACTGAGACGTCAATAACTAGCGAAACATCCATGGCAAGACTGAGAGGTCAATAACTTGTAAATCATCCATGCTTAGACTGAGACGTCAATAACTAGTAAAGCAGCAATAGCAAGACTGAGAGGTCAGTAACTAGTAAAACATCCATGGCAAGACTGAGAGGTCAGTAACTAGTGATAGATCCATAGCAAGACTGAGATGTCAAAAACTAGTAAAACATCCATGGCAAGATTGAGAGGTCAATAACCAGTAAAACAAACATTCTTAGACCGAGACGGCAGTAACTAGTGAAACATCCATTCTTAAACTGAGACGTCAATAACTAGTAAAACATCCATAGCAAGACTAACAGGTCAATAATGAGTGAAACATCCACAGCAAGACTGAGAGGTCAATTACCAGTGAAACATCCACAGCAAGACTGAGAGGTCAATTACTGGTGAAACATCCACAGCAAGACTGAGAGGTCAATTACCAGTGAAACATCCATGGCAAGACTGAGAGGTCAAATACCTGGTGAAATCCCCTTCTTCCCCAAACTGACCTGTCGCTCTCTTCCGGCGTCTGGCGGCGGAAGACGCAGTAGTTCTCTCGGAGATTCTTGCATCCACCAGTGCCTTGACTACCTGGGTGTTTCCTTCAGCAAGTGCCGCCGTGTCCACACCGTCGCGTAGCGCTGCTCGCTGCTCAACCACAATGTCCAGCTTGTCCAGGATGTCCGAAATGTAGTCCAGGGCCTCGGACCTGACAGCCTGAAGTATGACACGTCAGTGATGCTTGTGCGAGCTCTTGTACGTGTAGTACTAATGTAGAACTACTGCAGTATTACTGCTGTTTTGGTAATAATGTATTACGATTGCATGATTTACTTACACTAAATCTCAGCAACCGCATAGGGATTATCATTATCTTCCTGCTACAGTATTACTATCGTATTAACGTAGCTATATAAGTGCAATAATCTTGGACGCGAGGTTAGACCACATTTCACCTCACCTCACCTCACCTCCCTATCGTATTAGTAAATGATTAAAGCAGTCACTTTCAAAGCAGTTTAATCTCAGAGTTGTGCTATCTCTGCAATCTATACTATAATGATTATTTCTTTCTTGTGTTGTGTCCACTACATTGCTATAACAGTTATCCATAAAAGTCCTCTAAGTTTCCAAAATTTGAAACATCAGTGACAAAAGTGATGTCCGATGCTGTTCGCCATTTTGACTTGTACCATATGTTCCCGTGTTTTCTTAGGTGAACATTTGACATGCCTTTGCATGTATTTGTGACGGATGCCCCCGAATGGGCAGGATACGCTGACCTTTTCGCGAACACCTGGTATCATCACTATTTCCTAGAGAATCGATCCGGGTAGTATTGGTCTTCAGCATCCCAAGCTTGTCGTAAGAGTCGACTAACGGGATCTGGTGGTCAGGCTCGCTGACTTGGTTGATGCATGTCATCGTATCCCAATCGCTTGGATCGATGCTCATGATGTCAATCACTGGATTGTCTGGTCCAGACTCGATTATTTACAGACCGCCGTCATATAGCTGGAATATTGCCGAGTGCGGCGTTCAACAACAAACAAACACATCATAGAGATTCATAAACACATGCTCATGATATAGTCGGAAGCATACAATCGACTCGGCTTTTGCCAGAGAGTTCGTATGAATATGGAATGGATTTTTATGTTTTTATTTAAATGGACACCTACCGCAGGGATCTTGGCGAGCGAAGCAGCGTCCTCGTCCGTGAGGAAGGACATTATCATCCCCATCTTCTCGCCATCCAGAGACGCAAGGTCGGTGATACTGTAATACATAGCAAGGTGAGCATCATCACCGTCATCGAGCACTGACACGTTAGACCTGGTGTTAGTCATTGATTTCTCCGCAAGATTTCACAAGGCGGGGACTCCTTTTACTGAGGAATCGACCCGGATCATCAGCGTAAGGAGCAAACACTTTAACCATTCCGCCCCCACACCTGTCCCCGTACGGCACTGGTTGTGTTCATGCTCAATCAATCATGTTTGTCACTTGCTATTTTTGACCATTTGTAACAAGCTCGTCATGAATAACATCGCCATGGCATCATGATTGTCCGTGGCCGTGCAAGATTAATATCTGCCGCTAGTTGGCAAAAGATAATGTTTGTAGCTAGCAGGTCATGTATTGTGCCTGTTTCTAGTTGGTCATGAATTGTATGTGTTGCTAGTTGGTATGAATTGTATGTGTTGCCAGTTGGTGTATATTGTGCCTGTTTCTATTTGGTCATGAACTGTATGTGTTGCTAGTTGGTATGAACTGTATGTGTTGAACTGTGCCAGTTTGTATGTATTGTGCCTCTTTCTAGTTGCCTCTTTCACGAATTGTATGTGTTGCTAGTTGGTATGTATTTCTAGTTGGTATGAATTGTATGTGATGCTAGTTGGTATGAATTATATGTGTTGCTAGTTGGTATATATTGTGCCTGTTTCTAGTTGGTCATGAACTGTATGTGCTGCTAGTTGGTATATATTGTGCCTCTTTCTAGTGGGTCATGAATTGTTTGTGTTGCTAGTTGGTCATGAATTGCATGTTATGCTAGTTTTATGAATTGTGTGTGATGCTAGTTATATGACTTGTATGTGTTGATAGTTGCATGAATTGTATGTGTTGATAGTTGTAGGAATTGGATGTATTGCTAGTTGTATGAATTGGATGTGTTGCTAGTTGCATGAATTGGATGTGTTGCTAGTTGTATGAATTGTATGTGATGCTAGTTGTAGGAATTGGATGTGTTGCTAGTTGGCCATGGCTTGTGTTTGTCATCAGTAAGTACTCCTCCATGGACGTGAGCCGCTCACCCTGCTGCCGACTGGATCTTCTCCTTGTATTTCTTCCTGGTGGCGGCGTCCATGGGGGGACACGTCTGGAGCTTGCTCCCGGCGGCATCCTTGACAGCAGTCGCATCAAGGTCACTGACGCGCGCCCCGAGGAAGCAGACGTAATCCCCGAGTTCCTGCACCACGTCGGTCGTGATGGCGCCTGATGTCGCCCCCGTCTGTAGCATGAGGAGGAGAACATCAAAGCAGCCGTTTGCAAGCACAGGTAAACAGAACGATGTTGGTGACAGGTTTCACTATATTATGTGTGCCTTATTTTGCAGAGTCTCAAATTTGGTTAAGTTAAAAAAATTCAAAGTAAAATATAGTTTTGCAAAATAGGCTAACTTAGAAATGTGCAAGGTTTGGCAATGTTCTTATAAATATCGTAACTGTTCCGATAAAATGTTAAATTAACCCTTTTTTCCTCAGACGCCGGGGAACTTGACCCTTGCCTAATCAAGTTTTGTTCTGTTCTGGTGATCTGCCTAGGGATGGTCTTCAAATGTGTCTCACATACTCGTAATATACCCGTGTGCTATGCTCACCAGACATTCCAGGGCGTATTTGACCTGACTTTCGAGGACAGACTTTGTCACGGTCGTCTTGTCCATGCCCTTCAGTTTCTTCACAACGTCAGCACACAGAGAAGTAGGGATCTCCTTCTTCAGGGCACTTTCACTGAAACGTGGTGGTAATTTCCATTTTCATCCCCTTCAAAGATGTACATGTCAGTTTGATGGTATCAGTGATATTATTATTATTATTATTATTATTATTATTATTATTATTATTATTATTATTTACGTACTTGTAGCCCTTCAACACTTTGGCCAAAAGAGCAACTTGATCAGCGGTAGAAACCTTGTTGTCGCCAGTGTAGTATGCGGTGATTTTCGCCTCAAGAGTCTGCGACTAAAAGAGTTTGGATCAAGAGCAAGTTTAAAACCAGATTCTTGCTCATTTCATAGAATTATGTACATTACATGATTAAAATCATTTGCGACAAAAGGGTGTCTACATGTCAAACAAGTGCGGTACCACCTGATAACCTTTTCGTCTTGCTCATATCATGCGATATTCCGTCACATACGTTTGCCGTTATCTGTATAAAGTTGTTTATCTGTGTACATAGCAAACATAAAACAGTAAACGGGCTCTGGTTTGTGACACAGTGACTAACAAAGCGTGGAACATACACTTAATCTACGAATATGATAGGTGTATTGGGTAATTCAGGAATAAAATACCTTGGCTTCGCTCAGTTTGCCGGTTCCTTCAAGTTTGCTGAAAAGTTCAGGCAGTTTATCATCTGTGGGGAACTTGCCGAGCTGTTCCTTAGACATTCCTGGGAAGATCACAAACAGCGAGCTGACAGTCTCCGTGTCGTACTTGGCATTGCTTGCCCCTGGCTCGCCCAGCTTAGCCACGAGAATCTCAGCCATGGCACCCAACTGTCCATACCAACATATTCATATGTTACAGGTAGTTCTTCCACATTGGATGCAAGGCAGATCGTTGGTAGTGTGAAGACAAAGCCTTCACTGTCTATGAACACGTAGAGTGGGTGGGTTTAGGGGCCCCCGTTCAACAGTATTTCAGTTACATCAGGGCGTAGCAACACGATATTGAATGAAAGTCCCAATGGGGTGCAGATATTTGACGTTTACATGGTTTTCGGAACCCGCGGGTATGGTGCTGACAAAGCTCTTATCATAATCATGGTGATTATTGGGTTCGAATCTTAGGTTTATTGAAGGCCTTAGGGGGGCAACTCAGTACAGCGAATAGCAGTGGTTGTGGCGAGCCGTCTCCTCTTAAATATGTAGAACGGTCAGAACATCCGTTCAAAAAATAGAAAAGATATCAACCACAGGACTGGAATAATTGTACAAGTAGAATGTAAGGAAGTACTAAAACTTATATTATATTATGTGGTGAAGACCGTACGCACCTGTGCCCTATTGCAGTCCAGCTTGCACTTGCCCCCCGCTGCCTTAATGGTGTCCAGGAAGGAAGGGTCCCACGACTTGATCTCCGCCAGGGTAAGTCCCTGACAGATCTTACCCAGAGAACACACGTTGTCCGTGATAGTCTTGTTGCCCCGCTTCATCTGTCAACATTCACACATCAGCTACTGCACATTGCCTCTCTACACGAATACCTCCAACCGTATATGTATATCAAGATGTGTGATCTGTGCACCATGATCTCCTGCTATGAATGTCTGGTGTCGGTATAATAATCTGTGACCTGATAATTTCAGAATTGTACACTGAGATCAATAATACAAATCACGGTCTATGACACCTGGTTATTTTATCGTTTTACAATCCATGATAGCATCAAGCAGTTACTCCTGTTAATAATCATATTCCCGATTTACATATTTTCATACACACCTTTTCAATAACCTTCAGCTGATTCTCCACAGGCATTTCTTCGTACCTCTCTTGCAGCATCGCCAAAACACCGTCATCTTCCATCGTGTCATCAGGAATCTTGTCAAAGTCTTCGCCATCCAAGCCCTTGATAAACACTTCCGCCCCCAGCTTCTCTTTCACGTCTGCAGCGGTCAGTGCCCCCTGCAATATAACCGGACTAGCTACTGTCTACTACTTATAAAACACACTCTGGTATTGGATACACATTTGGAACCCAATGGTTAGCGCTCAGGAATCCACTGAGACGAATTGCACACACATACGATATCAACTTCTTCAAATAATAGCCTTTACCGCTGAACATTATTTTATAATGCTGTTGGATAATTTCTTTTCAATTCCCGGGAATGGATAGTATAATATGTAACGCGCACTAAAATAAGTACTTACGTCACGTATGCTTGCCATGGCTGCTTTCCCTAAGCGTCTTGCCTAGAGAGAGAAATTGGGCCAATGAGTCAATACAATACGGGCGTCCGTACTAATACGTAATGACACATCGTGTTAACCACGTGTTAGAGAGACTGAGACACGGAGAGAGAGTCAAAAAGAGAGACGGAGACACGGAGTGAGACACACACAAAATGAGAGACGTCAGTCACAACTCACCAAAGGCATTGAACATGTATGGTAATATATTAGTTTAATTGCCCAGAGGGTATTTTCATATCCAGCCTAGGGACTGTACCTTGTCCTCATCAATATTAGCCAGATCTTTGAGGTCCCCGGCGTTGAAGGCCTGTCCTATGGCCTCGGTGGGTAGCTGGTCGATGTATTCCTTGGTAAAAGATGGTAGTACAGAGGCGATCTTTTTAATGTTCGCTGCTGTCTGTTCAGATGCGTTTTTGAAAGTGTTGCTCTTCATGGCTCTCTTTCCAAGCGCCCCAAGCTGGTTAAAAAAAACACCACGACGTATAATACATCTGTTGCCATAGTGTATTCTTGTGTTCCATCTTCACTTCTACATTGCAACAAGAGTGTTCACAAGCTTTCAGGTTTATCTACGCAACAGATCACATGTTGTTGACATATTTCTGACCATGTTTTCTTGTTCAAATGTCAAGCTTATATTTTCAGAAAATCAGCCAGAACATATGCTTTACCTGGTCTCCTGTCTGTTTTGTTTGTTTGTTTGTTGTTTATCGCCGCACTCCGGAATATTCCAGCTATATGACGGCGGTCTGTAAAATAATCGAGTCTGGACCAGACTGTCCAGTGATTGACATGAGCATCGATCCACGCAATCGATGACATGTATCAACCAAGTCAGCGAGCCTGACCACCCGACCCCGTTAGTCGCCTTTTACGGCAAGCATGGGTTCCTGAAGACCTATTCTACCCAGGATCTTCACCGGTCTTCCAGTCTGTAGTATCTTGCTAAGTAAAATTTCAATAATTTCAATATATAACTTTGATATTTAATTCAAATATTGTATTGTCAACCTGAGTAACATATGTGGATTATTATAAGATACTTCACATTCACTCATCACTTTGGGCGGTCGGGTAGCCTAGTGGTTAAAACGTTCGCTCGTCATGCCGAAGACCCGGGTTCGATTCCCGACATGGGTACAAAGTGTGAAGCCCATTTCTAGTGTCCCCCGAATAATGGAATATTGCTAAAAGTGGCGTAAAACCATACTCACTCACTCACTCACTCACTCACTCACTCGCTCATCACTTTGTTCAGTTGGCATACCTCTGTCGGGGATTTCCCCTTGGTCTCCAGAACATTGAGTGAATCAATGAAGTCATCGAATGTGGCGTCAGGTACATCCTCAAATACGTCCTCGCCCATTCCAACTTCAAACATGCTGAAACAAACAAGATAATCACAGTCACTTTGCCACGTAATTACCGTCAAACAAACATCAGACCTTAGGTATTCTGAACAACTGCTTTGATGTGATTACCAGACCATCTGTTGATGCCATTGTCACACCGCCCACTGACGTCATTGTCACATCATGTACTGATGTCATAACAACACTTGACACTGACGTCATAACAACACTAGACACTGACGTCATAACAACACTAGACACTGACGCCATTGTCACATCATGTACTGATATCATTACAACACTAGACACTGACGTCATAACAACACTAGACACTGGCGTCTTTGTCACATCATGTACTGATGTCATTACAACACTAGACACTGACGTCATAACACTAGACACTGACGTCATAAGAACACTAGACACTGACGTCATTGTCACATCATGTACTGATGTCATTACAACACTAGACATTGACGTCATAACAACAGTAGACACTGACGTCATTGTCACATCATGTACTGATGTCATTACCACTAGACACTGACGTCATAACAACACTAGACACTGACGTCATTGTCACATCATGTACTGATGTCATTACAACACTAGACACTGACGTGGTTTGTTTGTTTGTTATTTTTCGCCGCACTCAGCAATAGTCCAGCTATTCAATGTTATCATGAGCATCGATCCACGCAGTTGAGATACGATGACAGGCATCAACCAAGTCAGCGAGATTGACCACCCGAACCCGTTATTCGCCTCTCACGACAAGTATAATCGCCTTTTACAGTAAGCATGAGTTGCTGAAGACCTATTCAAACCCGGATCTTCACGGGTTTCGTACATTGATGTCATGAATGTAATAATGACACCAATGCATTGATGTCATTGTCACATCGCGAATAATGTCATTTCAACACTAGACACCAATGTCATCGTCACATCATCCATTGGTGTCATTATTACATTGGGGGCGGTCGGGTAGCCTAGTGGTTAAAGCGTTAGCTCGTTACGCCGAAGACCCGGGTTCAATTCCCGACGTGGGTACACTGTGTTAAGCCCATTTCTGGTGTCCCCCGCCGTGATATTGCTGGAATATTACTAAAAGCGGCGTAAAACCGAACTCACCCACCCACCATTTTTACATTGATGTCACTACAATCCCATGCATTGGTGTCATTATCATACCATGGATTGATGTCATTGTCACAACGTGCATTGATACATTGATACTGAAGACCTATTCTAACTCGGATCTTCATGGGTCAGAATAAGGCTTCAGTACCCATGCTTGCCGAAAGAAGCTACTAACGGGATCGGGTGGCCAGGCACCCACTGACTTGATTGATGCATGTGATCGTATCCCAATTTCGATTTTTCTCTTCTTTCTTTCAAATATTGTCTCGTTGTTTTAAGTTTTTTTCAAAATGTCATCAATGCAAGGTGCGTTTATTTCTAGTTTATTACAAAAACACTAAATTTCGATTTTTTTCTCGCTATTTCAATTTTTCTCGTTGCTTCGATTATTTCAATTATATTCTCGAAAAAACATTTCGAGTTTTTTAAATAACGAGAAAAAAATCTAAATTTAGTGTTTTGTAATAAACTAGAAATAAACGCACCTTGCATTGATGACATTATCACACGGTGTATTGATAGCATTGTCACAGCATGGATTGATGGCATTATCACACCTTATATTGATGACATTGTCACACCATGCATTGGTGGCATTGTCTCACCATGCATTGATGGCCTTACTACATCGTGTATTGATGGCATTGTCTCACCATGCATTGATGGCCTTACTACACCGTGTATTGATGGCATTGTCACACCATGCATTGATGGCATTACTACACCGTGTATTGATGGCATTGTCTCACCATGCATTGATGGCATTACTACATCGTGTATTGATGGCATTGTCACACCATGCATTGATGGCATTACTACACCGTGTATTGATGGCATTGTCTCACCATGCATTGATGGCTTTACTACACCGTGTATTGATGGCATTGTCTCACCATGCATTGATGGCATTACTACACCGTGTATTGATGGCATTGTCTCACCATGCATTGATGGCCTTACTACACCGTGTATTGATGGCATTGTCTCGGCATGCATTGATGGCATTACTACACCGTGTATTGATGGCATTGTCACACCATGCATTGATGGCATTACTACACCGTGTATTGATGGCATTGTCTCACCATGCATTGATGGCATTACTACACCGTGTATTGATGGCATTGTCTCGGCATGCATTGATGGCATTACTACACCGTGTATTGATGGCATTGTCTCGGCATGCATTGATGGCATTACTACACCGTGTATTGATGGCATTGTCTCACCATGCATTGATGGCATTTCTACACCGTGTATTGATGGCATTGTCTCACCATGCATTGATGGCATTACTACACCGTGTATTGATGGCATTGTCTCACCATGCATTGATGGCCTTACTACACCGTGTATTGATGGCATTGTCACACCATGCATTGATGGCATTACTACACCGTGTATTGATGGCATTGTCTCACCATGCATTGATGGCATTACTACACCGTGTATTGATGGCATTGTCACACCATGCATTGATGGCATTACTACACCGTGTATTGATGGCATTGTCACACCATGCATTGATAGCATGACTGCACCGTTTATTGATGGCATTGTCTCGGCATGCATTGATGGCATTACTACACCGTGTATTGATGGCATTGTCTCACCATGCATTGATGGCATTACTACACCGTGTATTGATGGCATTGTCTCACCATGCATTGATGGCATTACTACACCGTGTATTGATGGCATTTTCTCACCATGCATTGATGGCCTTACTACATCGTGTATTGATGGCATTGTCTCACCATGCATTGATGGCATTACTACACCGTGTATTGATGGCATTGTCTCACCATGCATTGATAGCATGACTGCACCGTGTATTGATGGCATTGTCTCACCATGCATTGATGGCATTACTACACCGTGTATTGATGGCATTGTCACACCATGCATTGATGGCATTACTACACCGTGTATTGATGGCATTGTCTCACCATGCATTGATGTCATTGTCACACCATGCATTGATGGCATTACTACACCGTGTATTGATGGCATTGTCACACCATGCATTGATGGCATTGTCACACCATGCATTGATGGCATTGTCACACCATGCATTGATGGCATTACTACACCGTGTATTGATGGCATTGTCACACCATGCATTGATGGCATTACTACATCGTGTATTGATGGCATTGTCTCACCATGCATTGATGGCATTACTACACCGTGTATTGATGGCATTGTCACACCATGCATTGATGGCATTACTACACCGTGTATTGATGGCATTGTCTCACCATGCATTGATGGCCTTACTACACCGTGTATTGATGGCATTGTCTCACCATGCATTGATGGCATTACTACACCGTGTATTGATGGCATTGTCTCACCATGCATTGATGGCCTTACTACACCGTGTATTGATGGCATTGTCTCACCATGCATTGATGGCATTACTACACCGTGTATTGATGGCATTGTCACACCATGCATTGATGGCATTACTACACCGTGTATTGATGGCATTGTCTCACCATGCATTGATGGCATTACTACACCGTGTATTGATGGCATTGTCTCACCATGCATTGATGGCATTACTACACCGTGTATTGATGGCATTGTCACACCATGCATTGATAGCATGACTGCACCGTGTATTGATGGCATTGTCTCGGCATGCATTGATGGCCTTACTACACCGTGTATTGATGGCATTGTCTCACCATGCATTGATGGCATTACTACACCGTGTATTGATGGCATTGTCACACCATGCATTGATGGCATTACTACACCGTGTATTGATGGCATTGTCTCACCATGCATTGATGGCATTACTACACCGTGTATTGATGGCATTGTCACACCATGCATTGATGGCATTACTACACCGTGTATTGATGGCATTGTCTCACCATGCATTGATGGCATTACTACACCGTGTATTGATGGCATTGTCACACCATGCATTGATGGCATTACTACACCGTGTATTGATGGCATTGTCTCACCATGCATTGATGGCATTACTACACCGTGTATTGATGGCATTGTCACACCATGCATTGATGGCATTACTACACCGTGTATTGATGGCATTGTCTCACCATGCATTGATGGCATTACTACACCGTGTATTGATGGCATTGTCACACCATGCATTGATGGCATTACTACACCGTGTATTGATGGCATTGTCTCACCATGCATTGATGGCATTACTACACCGTGTATTGATGGCATTGTCACACCATGCATTGATGGCATTACTACACCGTGTATTGATGGCATTGTCTCACCATGCATTGATGGCATTACTACACCGTGTATTGATGGCATTGTCACACCATGCATTGATGGCATTACTACACCTCGTATTGATGGCATTGTCTCACCATGCATTGATGGCATTACTACACCGTGTATTGATGGCATTGTCACACCATGCATTGATGGCATTACTACACCGTGTATTGATGGCATTGTCTCACCATGCATTGATGGCATTACTACACCGTGTATTGATGGCATTGTCACACCATGCATTGATGGCATTACTACACCGTGTATTGATGGCATTGTCTCACCATGCATTGATGGCATTACTACACCGTGTATTGATGGCATTGTCACACCATGCATTGATGGCATTACTACACCGTGTATTGATGGCATTGTCACACCATGCATTGATGTCATTGTCTCACCATGCATTGATGGCATTTCTACACCGTGTATTGATGGCATTGTCTCACCATGTATTGATGGCCTTACTACACCGTGTATTGATGGCATTGTCACACCATGCATTGGTGGCATTACTACACCGTGTATTTATGGCATTGTCTCACCATGCATTGATGTCATTGTGACACCATGCATTGTTGGCATTGCCACGCCATGCATTGATGGCTTTACTACACCATGTATTTATGGCATTGTCACGCCATGCATTGATGGCATTGTCACAAGGTGCAAAGATGCCATTGTCATACCGTGCATTGTTGGCATTGTCACACCATGCATTGATGGCATTGTCACAAGGTGCAAAGATGTCATTGTCACAACATGCATTGATGTCATGATCGTTTATGATTGATTGGAAGACCGTTCAGGTGTAAAGAATATCGGAAAGACTCATGACTACAGGCAGCAGTTAATATATACAGGCAGGCTTCATCAGATATTGGCAGAATTTACAAGAAACGGACAACATTCAGTGGCAATCTAAGCAGCACTGCCAGACAACAGGCACTGCTATTTAAAGCAACATTAGGCAACATCGGACTTCTGATATATATGATTGCCTGGGCCTGTGGGGAACCACCATCAGATAACGCTCATGGCATTGCCGACCCGTGAAGATCCTGGGTAGAATAGGTCTTCAGCAACCCATGCTTGCTGTAGAAGGCGACTAACGGGATAGAGTGGTCAGGCTCGCTGACTTGGTTGAAGCATGTCATCGATCCCAATTGCTTGGATCGATGCTCATGATATCAATCACTTGATTGTCTGGTCCAGACTCGATTATTTACAGACCGCCGTCATATAGCTGGAATATTGCTGAGTGCGACGTTAAACAACAAACCAACCAATCATGTAATTGCCTCGCCTCTGATGTGGAAGTTTAATGTGGCCTCTGTTGAACTTATAAACTGTGGGGGCACTTTATTGTGACCGTGGACCATTTCCAAATCGACAACAACTTCCGAAACAATGAAAACTCAATCCCTGTCAAATCATTAATACACATACCTGGCCAATTGGGCTGGTGTGGTCTGTCCTCTGTTGGTGGGTAGACCTTTCTTCACAATTTCGCCCACCTTAGCTCTGATAGACATGTCCGTTTCATCCACTCCTTCCAGAAACTCTTTAGCTGCTCCGCGGATCTGGAGTGAGAAGGAAATGGTGACAACGCGTCGTTTCGGCTTGCTCTGGGAACAAAACCTTAAGAGACGCAGATCGTACACTTTTACGACTTCACGTAGACCGACGATAATAGACCAAGAACATAAACGGGGCGACTCGGGTATTTGAACCAGAAATCAGTGGATCCTGACACGGATAAAGGGCTCGACTCTTCACAGTGAATTGCGTTGCCTTCGAACATTGAGTCACCCATGCCCCTCCGGGAATCTAGAAGTAAATGTTATAACGACAACCCGCAATCCGTCAGCCTGATCCTCTTTACTTGCCTCTTATAACAAGCAGGGGGTACTGTGGACCTATTCTTCCCTGGATGGAAACACTGATAATGTATACATAGGCGGACAGATCCGCGTTGAAGCAGGGGGCATTAGATTGGTTTTTGTAAATATTATCCTAATTAAAGGTTTTAAATATGTTGTGTATTGGGACAGTGCTTTCATGTGATAACTCTTCAGCTTACATTAACTTTAAGAATTGTTTACTCATCTGTATTTTCTCAATGTTTAAGACGTGTTAGTCAACAAATAAAAAAATCTCTTGGAACTTTGAAGCCAATTTACCTCGTTTCTTCAACGTTCCTGCACACATAGCAATAAACGTTTGTGACCTTATATCCTCAAAAAGAAGCCCGCGTTTATAATTGTTACTTTTACTGTTGTGGTAATACTTACAGCATCTTCTGGGAAGTCCTCGGCATCTGATAATGTCCATTCTGCACCGGTCATCTTCTTTAGGTCTGCAGCGGTGGCGGTGCCAAGCGAACCCTTCGCCTCCTTGAATTTGTCCTTCAACACTTTACTTTCACCGCTTCTGATGGCCGTCTCTCGCAGGTTCTCGCTGAAGCAATACAACAACACTGACTTCATTTAAACATTCAGCCAGTGTTTACAGGCTCTTCACTGCAGTAAGTAATTATCAGATTACGCATGAGGTAATAAGAGAAACTGACGTGAAGAAAAGTGAGTTTGGCTCTGAGCCTCCATGCAGAGTAGTATAGGTACCTCAGACCGTGACAGTTGAATTCGGGAGGAAGCCCTAACGCAGACTTTTACAAATTTAGACAATCCCACATGCGAATGGGGAGAAATCTAACCTCATCTATTTCTGTTACGACATTGTATTTAGAAACGTACTTTGAAAGGAAATCCGCGGGGTCAATCAGTTTTAGAATATCCTTGTCCACCAATCCAGTGGAGAGGAAATCATCCACATCATCTCCCGAAAGCCTCGACGGGTTGCCTTTTTTCCTGAGGATGTTCTGGTTCATTCGTTTCTTCTCAAACTCCTCCATGTCCTGAGCCGCCTCCTGTTCTCAGCAAACATACATTGTGCATTGTCTTTGTGCAGGCAATAGATAACATCTACTCATGACGAATATGCGCCATTTGTAAAAGAATGTCGAGAGTTTTGACTTTTCCTTTATAATCGATTTTTTCGTACATACCTCACGTCAAATTTCGAGTTCAGAATTTATTTTCATATGTTAATGAAATCGTACAATGCCCAATCCCTCTGATGGGAGATACAACGTGCTTACTTTGGTGGAATGCTAAATGCATTTGCAAAAGTATTCTAATGTCAAAGAGCATCTAAAGTAGACACAATTAAAGAAATTAAAGAAGTTGTTATCCGTAAGTTGTGTCTACTTTGTCACCCGTCAACCTTTAAGTAATGCCTATCAAACACCATCAGGGTGTATCACGTTACGTACACCTTTGACGCTATCACAATTCAGTGGACCATCAAGCTTCTCGTACAGTCGTTGTGAGCCCTTTAGTCCCTTGGAACATAGCTCCGCCCGTTGCTCATTCGTCATGTTTCTTTTCAAATTGGCCAATGTGTCTGGCTAAATGTAAAGACAATTTGAAACACCTTTAACACGTTACATATACACATGTGTATATTGTTCAAGCCTGGACGATCGTGTTGTGATAGTAGGCGTGTGTCTGCTCGAACAAAATAATGTAATTGTCTTTCATTGTCTCAAAGACAAGTAGAATCTTAGAGCTTCAGATCTTTTGAATTAGCAAAATGAAGCAATTCTGTAGACTGTCACTAGTTATTGTTACTTTGTTTGTTGTTCAACGCTGCACTCAGCACTATTCCAGCTATATGACGGCGGTGTGTAAATAATCGAGTCTGCACCAGACAATTCAGTAGTTGACATCATAAGCATCGATCTACGCGATTGGGATACGATGACATGCATCAACCAAGTCAGCGAGCCTGACCACCCGATCCCTTTAGTCACCTCTTACGACAAGTATTGGTTGCTGAATATCAATTATTATCCGGATCTTCTCGGGTAGTGTCACCAGTAAAACATTGTTACATACACATGTTAAATTCTGTATTAAGTGGTATTCTTTGACACCATGGCAACCTGTTAAAAGTTGACCTGGTGATCATATTTCACGCCTTGATGTGACTTGATGCAGTCACAGGACATCTGGATAGTGCCATCAATGTTCTCCTGCACAAAAGCCCCTGTGTTAATGAATCCTGATGTCAGGCTGCCATGAGGCACATGTAGTTTATTTTGCTCCATTTGGCGGGACTAATACATGGTATCTGAGAACATTACATAACAACTACTGTCCAAGCAACCATACTCACTGTCATTTTCTCGAGCATAGCGTCAGGCATGTCTCGAATTTCAGCCTTTGACATGGAGGTGATGAGAGTGCTTATGTTCGCAAGAAGGTCCTTTTGTTCCTTAGGCAGCTTTTTATATTCCTCAAGGAACTTTGTCAGGGCAGCTGGATCTGACAGCTCGTCAAAGTCAATGACATCTATAATAGTGACAAAATATATTAGTTTATAGTATAATGGTAGGATTTTCGGAGGGCTGAAAGTACGAACGTTCGAGGAGGGATGGGACCGGTGAAGCACAATCGATGAAAACTCGTTGTATCGCTGCTTAACAAATCATGCACTAGTATTTATCGGAATGGTTTCATTAACGATGATCGGTATATATTACGTTCTTGCTGCAATGTCCATAGATGTTCAGTGCTATTATTGTTTATTTATGAAGATTTTCATATTCGAAATTTCCCAATGAATATATCTAGGTGGGTCCTCTGTATGGACTTTCATAAACTAAACAAGCTCGATTGGTGTTTCAATGATTCAACTATGGACATATGTTACAGTGTAAGTGGCAAGTGCAGCATCTAATACTGACTTGCATGCAGATGAGACATATACGACAACGGTTCATGCATAAAGCATTCATGCAGTAATATCATAATAACACTGGTCCAACAACATATTTGGGATGTATCTGAGTGAGTGAGTGAGTTGGGTTTAACTCCGCTTTTAACAGTATTACCGTTATACCACGGCGAGTCAGCTTAATATGGGAGGAAAACCAGAAGGAATACAGGTCTCAGTCGTTTACCACTTCGGTGAAACCCACGAGCATGAGTATGGTGCTGACAAACCTAGAAACATAATCAGGGCGAACCGGGATTCGAACCCACAATCATAGGTTTCTGTCGTGCCAAAGGGACACAACTCTGCACAGGGAATCGTGGCGCCTTAGACGACTGGGGCACCCGTGCCCACGGGGATGTATCTGAGCTTCATATATCTTGATGACCTTGTTCGATAAAGCCTCTGGGCAGGACAAGAGAACATTTTGCGATATCATGACACATTACATTACAGTTGGGGAACACGGGAGGCCCAATGTCTAAGGCGCCGAAATTCGTTGTGCAGAGTTGCGTCCCTTGGAAATCTATGATCGTTCGAATTCCGTTTCGCCACGATTATGTTTCCAGGTTTGTCAGCACCATACCCGTGCTTTAGGGTTTCATCAAAGTGAAAAACGTCCAAGTCCTACTTTACTTCGTACTTTCCTCCCACATCAAGCTGACACGCCGTGATATAACTGGACTACTGTTCACAGGGCGTTAAACTCACTCGCTCACTCTATTACAGTTGGATGCAGCAATATGGAAAGAGGGTGACCTACCTTTTAGTTGCTGACCGGCTTCCAGAAACTCTTCTTTCCCTCTTTCGTCCAGTCCAAAATCGTCTGGGATGTCGGCAAGTCCCCGAGATATGTCACTAACTGACTGAATGAGCACAAAAACGAATACTGAGTAAAGATGAGAATAAGGGAAAAGATGTGAACACGTTGCTTTAAGATTACTTAGACCTTTTATATCAGTCATTTAGTTCGAAGATTATGTGTGGGTTGTTTTGGATTGAAACACATCTGGATTTATCAGATAAATGAGTTCGTAATTCTGTGATGATGTCCATCATGACGTGGGTTCTACTGGTACAATAAGACTAGTTAATAAATGTAAACACACACAAACACACACACACACACACACACACACACACACACACACACACACACACACACACACACACACACATACACACTGTTACAATTCAAGTAGCAATATAACGACATTGAAATACTTCTTACAATTAGATCAACCCAACGTGTGATTATGCAACAAAATGAGTTCGAGTAGAAAAGATATAATAAATTGCACTGGGGTAAAGGTTGTTCAAATTAAATGCTATTTAAGTCACTGTAGTTGTTTTTGTAAAACTGCTTTACCTCTCCAGTTGACGTTAATCCTGCAATTGTTTTCATTTTTTCTCTTTCTTCTGCAGTTAAGTTTCCTGCTTTAAACATGGCTTTCAGCTTCTTCAGTTCATCGTCTCCGAGGACCCCACCGTCCAAAGCAGTCTTCAACTCCTCTTGTTCTGAAGCATCCAAATCCATTGCAATTCTTTCGTCTAGTTTATCCCGTTGGTCTTGAGACAGTTTGCCTTCTATTTTCAGAGCTTCTAACTTTGCGATATCGTCATCAGTCAGATTTTCACCCGGCCTTCCCAGTCTAGTCTTCAGGGCCTGTTGTGCATCCTCGTTTAAATCCCTCAACGCATCCCTCGCCGCTTCTTCTATTTCCTCTCTGGTTTTTCCCAGATCTTGTGATGTAATTTCATTTCTTTCATCCAGGGCCCATATAATGTGACGTTCAAATGGGCTTAATTGCTGATTCTTTTTTAATTTCCCTAATATCAGTTGCTTAATTTCGTCTGTTACATTTTTCAGGGTGTTTTCAGCGAGCTGAGACTGTTGATCGTCTGTGAGGTTCTCTCTTATCATCGCTAGTTGTTTAATGTCTTCTTCTACGAGTGTTCCAAGTGCAAGTTTTTCAACAAGCGCTTCCTTCTGTTGTTGTGTCATATTTTGCAACGGAGGTTCCTTCTCTATAATTCTGATTGGTGGTTTGGTTTTCGCACAGCCTATTTAATAACAGTCAAAAAATAAATCAACGAAAAATGGAGACTGATGTTTTCCTAAAATAATATGCTGGAACAATATACCACAACAATGTTGAATCATCCCCTTGACTCGTTCACTTGGATAATCGGTTAGTAACCAACAGCATGACATCATCATACAACTATGTGTAGTTATTCAGGCATTTAATATGAATGTTCATAGATGATGGTGTATGTGAATATATGCATATTTTCCATAATGTAACATAGAATATATTTTTTTTCGACGTAGAATATGAAACAATAACCATATGCAAAGCTGATTTTGATAATGTCAAAGTATCAGCCCATGTTGTCATGTTGTCAATCTCAATTGTAAAAGGTCAGGTGAGGTTAAATCGGGTTTAACGTCTCGTTCAAGATCGTTGCATTTATATATCTACGTGCATTTACCCGCTTAAATGCAGAGCCCCAGGCAAGGTAACAAGTACCATCTTTTAACGCGTTTTGGTATGACCCGGCCGGGGATCGAACCCCCGACCTTCTGCTCTCCGGACAGACGCTCTGTCCACCACCGGCGGCGGTCTAATGCTAAAAGAATACATCATGTATGGAGAAAGAATATCGAGTTGGCGCACATTTTATCATAGATATGCATACAAACATTTTAAGGCTTTGTTGGACATTTTAGAACCAATCAGGTTCATTTACAGTACATCTAAACTAAGGTGTGTTGACATTCCTCGTGTTTCCATCCTTTCGAAAATAAACTCGTATTATTTTTAATATTTACGATTAGGTACTTGAATTCTAATTACAAAAAACTGCACATCATAAACGTGCCATAGAGATCATACTCATTCGCCCGTGTCTATGGCAGTACGCAATATGTACAGTATGGATACAGTCGGGATATATACCACGAGAGGAGATATTTCCAAATGCTGACTTTTAACAACTCTGCTGCTTTTAATATTAGATTTATTTTCCATGGCCCCTTACATTCATTACAATATATTTTTCACACTAGTTAGTGCGATGTTATCTGTAGAGATAAGCTGGATTTTGAAAGCGCTTGCTTATTTAAATATCTTTAATATCCCTTTCACACAAAGCTCAAAGACAAAGGTTATGAATACGATTCAGGTTGGGGCGACTGAGTTGTTCTGGGCGAACGTCCTCAATCAGTGATGGTATTAGACCATGTAAGACGGGTGACCTTCATGTTATCGTGATGTCATAGTATTTTAAACATCTCCTCGATGCGCTGTCCCCCCTGTGCGCGACAGGCATCGATTGGGTGACGCCATTTTAATTATCGCGTACATATGACATATCATATATATATAATTTCATTGTGTTCCTATAATCTCAGAAGTATAATATAGTTTTCATCTCGGAGGTGCATAATCGTGTGTATGTATCATTGACATTTACCTTAATCAGAAGAAGGTTATCTATGTTAAATGCAGTGTCAGTGGTCTGCTCGTGTTTACACCAGCGTTATTATTTATATCAACCAAGCTGTATAATATTTATTGTCTGAGGTCTTCTCGATAGGCGGTTATCGACCGCCTCCGTGGCCTAGCAGTAGAGCGTCTCCCCGGAGAGCGGAAGATCGGGGTTCGATCCCAGGCCGTTAAAATATGGTACTTGTTGTTACCATGCCGAGCATTAAGGCGCCAAAACAAGGACTGATCGTCTCGGAGTCAGTATGCTGTGTCTGAGTGGGGTTAAACTGTGGCATGGTATCTCAGTGGGCTATGTACACTCTTCAAAAAAAGAAACGCATAGGTGTTTTGAGAATTCCAATAAGATTTTTTTCCCAGCAGTCGTCATAAAGACAATTCTTTTGTTTGATTCCCGTTAAACATGTCATGTTTGTTGTGCATTGCGCGCAAACACATCTCAAAATGTTGGACCTGTCTTGCGACGTCTACACCGTCAACGACGTGTCCGGAGGTGCAACAGAGTACAGGCATGGGATCTCAGGAACTGGCGACGCGTTTGGTTCAGCGATGAGTCACGTTTTCTTCTTCAGCGACTGGATGGAAGACTACGTGTATACCGACGTCGACATGAACGTTTTGCGACGAACTGCGTCCGGCAGGTGGACCGATTTGGTGGAGGGGGTGTCATGGTGTGGGGAGCCATATCCTACACGGGTAGATCACAGTTAGTGGTTGTCCAGGGCAATCTTACAGCAAACCGATACATAGACCAAATTCTGCGTCCTCACCTCCTCCCAACTTTTGACCGCCAGAGGGAGCTGTTCCAACATGACAACGCTCGGCCCCCCACAGCACGTACAGCAGTTAATTTCCTTGTTAATGATGAAATCAATGTCCTTCCATGGCAGCCCAAATCGCCTGATCTCAACCCGATTGAACATTTGTGGGACGAACTTGATCGACGCGTCCGTCAACGTCACCAGCGTCCCCACACACCGGCACAACTCGCCAACGCCTTAATCGAGGAATGGCGAAGAACTCCCCACGAAAAAATCCGACGACTTGTGCAATCTGTGCCAAGGAGTTGTCGAGCAGTGACGGCTGCAAGAGGTGATGTGACCAGGTAGTGACCATGACGCCCCCTTGTGGCTACACATGTGGAATGACTGAACTGAATTAATGCTAACAATGACGACAATGCTTTTGTCGATCACTGTGTCTATTTTCATTTGATTGTGTTCACGCATATTCTGTGAAGATACTTTTACATCCGCTTAATTAATATCCTTATTTTTTAACTATGCGTTTCTTTTCTTGAAGAGTGTATAAATTCGGCACTGGTCCGGACTCGTACAAGCAGACACGCACTCACACGAGCGCATAAGTGCAATAATCTTGAATGTGACGTTAAACCCCATTTAACCTCTCCTCAGGCGGTTTCATTGCATCTTGTATGCCTAAAGTTTGATATAATTATGGTGTCTGCAGTATACATGATCGACAGAAAAGGACTATTGATGTTCAGTAGGTTTTGCGTTGCTTTTGTTTTCGACAATAATTATCTTAGACAAAGCCATGTTTTCTCGGGTACTGGTGGTGTTACGTTGCTACTAAACATGGAAACCGACGGGACAGCAAATCAATAATACATGAACATAGCAGAGGGTAGATATCAACTGTCGTGTTATACATGAACATAGCAGAGGGTAGATATCAACTGTCGTGTTATACATGAACATAGCAGAGGGTAGATATCAACTGTCGTGTTATACATGAACATAGCAGAGGGTAGATATCAACTGTCGTGTTATACATGAACATAACAAGAGGGTAGATATCAACTGTCGTGTTATACCTGAACATAACAAGAGGGTAGATATTTACTCCCTAGTTGTACATGAACATAACAAGAGGGTAGATATCAACTGTCGTGTTATACATGAACATAACAAGAGGGTAGATATTTACTGTCGTGTTATACATGAACATAACAAGAGGGTAGATATTTACTGTCGTGTTGTACATGAACATAACAAGAGGGTAGATATTTACTGTCGTGTTATACATGAACATAACAAGAGGGTAGATATCAACTGTCGTGTTATACATGAAAATAACAAGAGGGTAGATATCAACTGTCGTGTTATACATGAAAATAACAAGAGGGTAGATATCAACTGTCGTGTTATACATGAAAATAACAAGAGGACAGATATTTTCTGTCGTGTTTAACATGAACATAACAAGAGGGTAGATATCAACTGTCGTGCTATACATGAACATAACAAGAGGGTAGATATTTACTGTCGTGCTATACATGAACATAACAAGAGGGTAGATATTTACTGTCGTGTTATACATGAACATAACAAGAGGGTAGATATCAACTGTCGTGTTGCACATGAACATAACAAGAGGGTAGATATCAGTTGTCGTGTTATACATGAACATAACAAGAGGGTAGATATTTACTGTCGTGTTATAAATGAACATAACAAGAGGGTAGATATCAGCTGTCGTGTTATATATGAACCGTGCTCTTGGGTTTCCCCGAAGTGGTAAACGTCTGAGACCTGCATCACTTCGGGCTTTCCTCCCACATTAAGCTGATACGCCGCGATACAACTGGAATAATTTTTAAAGCGGCGTTGAACCCAACTCACTCACTCACTCATGTTATACAGGAACGTACCAAGAGGATAGATATCAACTATTGCTATACGGGAAGGTACCAAGAGGATAGATATCAACTGTTGTTATACAGGAACGTACCAAGAGGATAGATATCAACTGTTGTTATACAGGAACGTACCAAGAGGATAGATATCAACTATTGTTATACAGGAACGTACCAAGAGGATAGATATCAACTATTGTTATACAGGAACGTACCAAGAGGATAGATATAAATTATTGTTATACAGGAACGTACCAAGAGGATAGATATAACCTATTGTTATACAGGAACGTACCAAGAGGATAGATATAACCTATTGTTATACAGGAACGTACCAAGAGGATAGATATAAACTATTGTTATACAGGAACGTACCAAGAGGATAGATATCAACTGTCGTGATTTACATGAATGTCAACTTTTTCACAAGAAACTTGCAGTATATTTTAAAGTAAGTTCGGTATTTTAAATCGTCTTTGTGGATATTCAGGAAGAATGTGATCTTCTACTCGTGAATATTTTTATTAAAAAAATAATCTCTGAACGACATGGCCTCCGATTCTGCCTTGTACACACACAAAAACCACGAGCAACCTAGGTTTTGACCTTGGTACTGTTTTATCGATTGTTCTATTATAATTATCATCCGTGACGGTCCTTAGAACTCACGCCACAAAGGTATTGTTACACTAAACACTGTTGAATAATTGAAATAGTCGATGTCTTAAGCATCACCAGGTACCACAACACTCTGTATTCAGCATCCAATAAAGCGGGTAGCTAGGAAACATATACAACTTGAGGCAGAAGCATCCTGGTAATTCATTGACAGTGTAAACATTGAAAGCTTTAGAACACCATATTGCAGAAACACAGGTATCAGTCGGATGCAA